GACGGCACCTCTGATGTTGCAGCACACACCCAGCACTGCATTGGAGTGTGAGCTTAGACAATGTCATTCCACAACCTTCTGATGTGTACACACACAGACGTACACACACAGAGCCTGGCTGAGACAGGCGTTCGCCTACAAATACACAGTCACTCCACAGTAAATCCTGTGAAGTGCTTTGGGATGTCCTCCCGACATGAATACCAAATGCAGGGATTATTATTATTATTGTGGACTCTGGTGAGGTGCTTTCTCGTTCTCAATCTCTTCCTCTCTCTCTTTCTTCATCTTTCTTTCTATTTCTTTTATTTTTTCATGCTTTCTCTTTCTTCTCTCTCCCAGTCTTTTTTTCCCCCCTCTCTCTGTCTTTTCTTTTACACTCTCTTTTCTCTTTTCTCTCTCTCTCTTTGCCCTTGAACACGTGGAAGTAGTTAGTGAGGCTCCCGGTGAGGGGTTGAGCGGAGGGGCTGGAGAGGCGGTGGTGGTGTGGGGTGGGGGGGGGGAAGTGCAGTGTTAGGGAATCTTGACACCAAAGGCTGGTCTGGGGTCAACTCAGGAACAAGACTGATGGTCCTGTGATGAATTAGCTCACTCCACTTTCTCACTAGGATCAAGTGTATCCAATCTCCCCTTATTACCCTAAGGACAAAAACGTTAAGCAAGTTTTGTTACTCCACACGCCTCTGTTTACCTAGCAGTAAGTGGGTTGTTAGTTGATTGGCGGAGCGGTTTTCCGGGGATAATAATCCCTTCAAAATTTTAAAAAAAAGAATAGTAATAACAATTTGTCACTCAATCCACGACTGTTTGTGGGACAAGGTTGTGTGCAATTGGTTGCTGCATTTCACCCACAAAATATATAGTCAATTCACTTTAGAGTATGAGACTTCTTGAAGACGTGATAAGGCGCTATATCAAATGCAAGGGTTATTATTATAAACTACCTGACGTGGGGCTTAATCCCAATATTGACAGTCTGACAGATTGCGGGAATCACTGAAACGATTTCATTCTTCCCCGAGCAGCTGTGTTATTTACAGAGGGTGAGAGTATAGGGTGGCCTGTATAAACACCGGCATTCCAGTCATTCTTATAGCTGTGTTCAGGCTGTTTACGCCTCGTGAACAGTCCCATTCCAGTTTGTGTACAGCCCTTACTACACTCTCAGTACAAAACTGTGTATATCACCTGTACATCCCCATGTCCAGCCTCTCCACTAACTCCGCCTGCTCCATGTCTTTCACTCATGTGAAGATGTGTAAGTGTGAGTTGTTGTAGATGTTGGCTGCGTGGGCAGACATGGAATACTACAACAACTTACATTTATACAGCGCCTTTCATCTTAGAAAGACGTCCCAAGGCTGTTAAAGGGGTTGGAATCTGAGCTGGGGTTGGAATCAAGAGGGGTGGTAATGCCATATCACAGGGTTTCCAGGGGAACTGGACCAGTGATTACCAGAGCATGGCCTGGCTCACAGACTAGATCTCCTGCTGGTTCCCCACCTTAGCACTTTGAGCTCACAGTTCAGGCTGACGCAGTGCTGGGGAGGAGCGCTGCATTTTCCGAGGCGTCATCCATCGGATGAGACGTTAAACTGAGGACTGTCTGTCCTTTGAGGTGGACGGTGACGATCCCGCAATGCAATTGGAAAAGAGGAAGGAGTTTCTCCTCATCTCCTGGCCATTGAAGCTGATGGATTGTCACTCACGTCATGGGTTGTGTGTGTGTGTATGTGTGTGTGTTTGTGTGGGACATTGCTGTGAGCAAACTGGCTGTGTGCTTGCTTGTAATCACTACATTTAACAGCAGTTGCTCGCATTTTGAAGTCATAGGCGCTGATCAGATGCAGAGTGTAATATTGTAACAGTCACTCCACTTCCCTGTGTGCTGCACATTTTGACGCTGTAACGAGGGGAAGGATATTGGAGCTCACGCAGCCCTCGGGAGAGAGAGAGTCCTCAGTGTGGACTCTGCCCTCGGCTGCACTGCTGAGCAGGGCTGAGATGTGAGGCTCCTTGTACCCTAATCCCATTGTCCCGCTCTGATCCTTTTCCATGTCGCTGCCCGAGCCCGATCAGCAGACTCCTGATGCTGGAGTGAACGTTAAGTATTTAATCCCAGCGTTTAACTCCCGCTCCCTGTTCTCAGCCTCTGCACTTCCCAATAATGTGTGTCAGCCAGACGCTTGCCTCTGAATCAAGAGGTTGTGCTTGCAACACCCAGGTCGAGGCTTGGAACCCATATGGTCTCGACTGACGCTCCAGTACAGTGCTGGGGGGAGCTCTGCATTGACAGAGCTGCTGTCTTTCTGATGAGACATTAAACCAAGGCTGTGCCTTTACAGGTGGATGTTGAAGCGCTGTTTGTAAAGAGAAGGGAGTTTTTCTCTCCCGGTGTCCTGGCCCCCAAATCCCTCAAATAAAATTGGTCACTCACTTCACAGCTCTTTGTGGGACACTGCTGTGTGCAAATTAGCTACCATGTTCACGTACAAACACACAGTCACTACCCTTTACAGTGTATCCTGTGAAGTGTTTTGATACTGTTGTATGAGTGTGTAAATGTAAAGATTATAAAAACTGCCTGGTGCATATTTCTTCTCTTGCTCTCATGTTCTTTCTTTGTCTCTCATTTCATTATATATAATAATAATCCTTGCATTTGATTTAGTGCCTTATCACTTCTTCGAGACCTCTCAAAGCGCTTCACAGAATATACTGTAAAGTGAATTGACTATATTTTGTGAGGGAAATGTGGCAGCCAATTGCACACTGCAGTGTCCCACAAACAGTCATGGATTGAGTGGCTAAGTTATTATTTTTTTTAAGGGATAATTCTCTGCATGTCTTTCTTTTCTATCTTTCTCTGTCTTTCCCTCACTCTTTCGTTTCCCCCCCTCTCTTTCCGTCGCAGCTTCACCCTTTCTCTCCCTCTTTCTGTCTCATTCCCTCTTTCTCATTCGCTCACTCACTCTCACTCTCTGACTCACCCACTCTCAGCCTTTCTCCTTGACTTTCTCTCACGCACTCTCAGACTGTCACTCTCACGCACATTCTCTCTCTGTCTCTGTCTCTCTCACACACACACACACACACGTACATTCGCTCACTACCCTTTACTGGACGGTGGAGCGAGAGGCTGGGTTGCAATGGAATGTTAATGGAAGCTGTATACAGCACGGAGCACACGCCATTCATCTGCATGTCACTTGAGTGAGCAGTGGAGGGAGCGGGAGTGCCGGATTATCAGCCCGGTAATAACTCATCGACACTCACGCCCCAACGCATTCCTGCAGCACCTTAACCCTTCACCTGTCACTGAGCCCTGCGCAGACACTAACCATAGCGCTCGCTGAGGTCCCGGCTTCCTGAAATTAACACTGGTGATAAATTCTACAGCTCTCATCCCGGAAAAAAAGATAAATTTTTTCACTTCTGGAATCTGGCTACTCCCTCCACTCTATCCCAGGTCGGTAAGCAGGGTCTCCTCGTGGCTGAACTGGCTCCGAGGTGACATGTTTGGCAACGGAATGTCGGACTCGAGCCAGCCCTCTGTGGCAGTCTCTAGTCCGGTTCCTGAGCCAGACAGGTCCGCAGTATTCAAGGGCACTGCTGATGACTGCACAGCCGGCCTGGCTCTTCGGCAAAACATGGAAGGGAAGACCATCACTGGAGGCAGGGAATCAACCCACTCAGCTCCTGTTAACCCAGTAAACCAAAGCCCTAACGGGTAGGGTGGTCCTAGCTGGACAAGCAGCGGGAAAGTTTGCCAGACAGTGATATCAATGGCAAGCTACGTGGTTTTAGCTGGTTAGACTCGAGCAGGTACCCCAATGCACACTCTGGGGTCCCCCAAGCCTTGGGTCTTGCCGGCCTGCACCTAAAACTCTCCGGAATTAGGTAAGCAGGGAGAGAGGGCGCATTCCAGACATGGAAATTTTCATGTGTAGGTGGTGTACTTGGGACTCCCAATCTGGTTTGGATATTCACTTCATGGCTGCTTCTGGCATTTGGTCGTGTGCAAATTGGCTGCCACATTTGCCTACAAATACACAGTTACTACACTTTACAGTAAATCCTGCGAAACGCTTCAAGATAATGTGATAAGCGTGATATAAGTGTTATTATTATTACCTCTCAGAGAGCTGCAGCTCTCATTCCCTCCACCCTCCTCCACGATTATAGATTTATAAACCCTGAGCTCGGGCCTCACCTGACCAAACCTTTTACACGGCCAAGCTCCTACTGGTTGGCTCAGCGCCTGACTCGCTCTGTATAAACAGAGGCCCAGCCTCACACTGCAAGGCAACTTTGTGATGTCAATGCAGTGCGGCCTGGCCATAAACGGAGTGTTAAATGGAATGATTGGCTCCCATCTGATGCCGTATGGTTTGTGTGTATCAGTTCCGGCTCCCGTGTGTACAGTTCACACCAGGAGTCCCGTAGCATAGTGGTTAGCTCCCTCACCTCGCAAACGAGAGGACCTGGGTTCGATGTCCAGGCAAAGCGAAACCTTAGGCAAATTTCCTCACTCCACATGCCTCTGTCTACCTAGCAGTAAGTAGGAACCCGGTTATTAGTTGAGTGGCGGATTGCTTTCCAGGGATAATTATCGCCGCAAATGAATGCTTGGGTTTGCCTGCAAATACACAGTGCCTCCAGCTGAGGAGAAAGTGATTGCCTGTGAGACGCTGTGAGATAACCCACCTGCCTCTCTCTCTGCCTCGCTTTCTATGCCTCGACAGGGCGAAACCTTGGGCAATTTCCTTACTCCACACGCCTGATAGTAATCCCTCAAGAAAAAAAACAATAATAATTTGGTCACTCAATCCACGACTGTTTGTGGGACGCTGCTGTGCGTAATTGGCTGCCGTATTTCGCCCACAAAATATAGTCAATTCACTTTACAGTCTATTCTGTGAAGCGCTTTGAGACGTCTGGAAGACATGAAAAGCGCTATATCAAATGCAAGGATTATTATTATTATTATTTGTGTCCAGGACACGAGATGAACGGAGCCCTCGATACCTCCAACATCGACACGAGCATCCTGGAGGAGTACATTAGTAAGGAGGACTCCAGTGACATGTGAGTGCTTCATGCCAGCCCGGGGGTGGGTGGGGGTGGGCCGGGCTCAGGCACTCATACCCCGGTGGGTGGGGGAATGGGGTGCCGGGGATGCTGATATTCCTAGGACACTGACGTTTCCTGGTGTCCTGGTTCTCATGTCTTCCCATCATTATTATTCTCTTCGACCACGCTTACGGTCACCTCCTCCCTTCCCCGTGGCACAGCGTCGTGCTCCACCACTGTCCAGCGCTCTGAGACGCAGCCCCGGGTGAAGGGCGCGAAAGAAATGCAAGTTGTTGTAGTTGTATTGCCGTTGTTTATCCCCCTTTTTTTCCCCCTCTTCGCAGCTGTTTCCCGGAACTCCCGATCACGGTCACTTACTCCAACCCGCAGACCTGCAACAGCGGCCCCAACCCCCACAATGTCCATGGCACCATGGCGACCGCTGGTCACGTGACCAGCCCCACTGCAGTTGGCCATCTTTGTCACCCGGGGGGTCCGGTTGGGGGTGGGGCCAGACACGGGGGTCTCGTGGCTTGTGGCCCGGGGCTCCCCACCCATGTGACTTGCCCAGCGACCAGTGGGATGCTGCCCAAAGGCTATCCCAACCTGTGTATGAACAGTAACGCACCAGCCATCAAATCAGAACCAAAGCCATCATACGCACCCGGGTAAGTCACCTGACCATAAAACATTAGCCCGTCAGCAGGCTTTGGTAGCCATGTTACTCTGTCTCTAGCCCATGCTGTGGTTGACCTGGGAGTGTGGAGGGACAGTGTATAGTGAGCTTTACTCTCTCTGAGCTCCGCTAGAGAAATGCAAGTTGTTGTAGTACTGCTGCCGTTTATCCCCCTTTCCCCTCTACCCCTCTCCACAGCTTTAAGTGCTCCGAGGCACCGTCCGGCGTGAAGGGCGCTATATAAATGCAAGTTTTTGTTGTTGTCTCTCAGCCCTGTTGCAGAAAAATATCTCAAATGGCTTCACAGGTGATTCCTATCAAATGTAGTGACTATTTGTAGACAAGGCCTCTGTGTGCGTGTGTGTGTGTGTCTGTGGTGAGCAGAATGGGACGCCTGCTTCCAGTGTGGTCTGGCAATGCTTTCTATAGGTGTTAGTGATCGGCTTCAGTGTATACTGTGAGCTGCACAGGGAGCCTCCCCCACTGGCTGAGGCCCGGAGATTAAGTACTTTTCGGGCCGCCTTGGTACAGCCTTGCACCTTGTGTCTACGCTCACGCTCACCAAATAAACATTGTTGGGGGGAAGCCTCTCATCTGCCAGTGCCTGCCGCATTTTGCCCACAAAACGTATAGTCAATTCACTTGAACATATATCCTGTGAAGCGCTTTGAGATATCTCAAATGCAAGGATTATTATTGTTATTAGAAGGAGAGCACGTGATCTCACAGTGAGGCTACACACCAAGAGATACTTTGAGGACCTCTCGATGCCGGCGAGTGGGCACGCACATCAAACCTGACCTTTCCTAATCCTCTCTGCTGCAACCCTGAGAGTCTATAAGAATAATCACCACAAGATCACGAGATTGGTCTGGAAGAAGAAGGCCCTTCGGCCCATCTGATCTCCTCCCTCCAGAACACCCACCTGACCACCCCCCCCATCACTCAGGCTGTGCCTATGTATCCCTCAACACTATTCCCAACCAGCGGCCAAAAAAACAACTTCCAAGTGTAGGACTGAATGAGATTCACACACGGCCTTTCGTTTTGACTCAAACATCGTCCGTCTGTATCAACCACACCTCTCAGCACAGCCTTCGACCATCTCCCAGTTACAGTGACTCCGTTCCAGCTGTCAGCCTTTCCCAGACAGAGCCCCAGCGCCTTCACTCATTCGTTCCCTCTGAATCCTCTCCCATATCTTAGTGCCCTTGGAAGATTATTTGTTTCCAAACTCCACACAGTAGGGTAACGCTGTCACTGAGTCAGAAACAAGTGGGTTCACGCCCCATGCTGAAGGCTTTGAGCTCAGAGCCCGGGCCGACACTCCAGTGAAGTGCTGTGGGAGCTTTGCATTGTCAGAAGTGCTGTCCTCTGGAAGTGATGTTAAACAGAGGTGTGTATGTTTCAATGGATGTTAAAGATTTCGTAGCACCATTTGACCAACCTCCTCCAGAGGTGAAAGGATATAAATGGAATTTGTTGATGTTGAAAAGGGAAGGGAGCTTGTCTCAGAAGTCTTCCCAAAAATCTTCCCCACATAAATGGATCATTCCCCTCGTGGCTGCTTTTGGGAGCGAATGGTCCCCGTGTTTGACTCCACGCACTCCACTGTGGTGTACTTTGCCATTCTCACAATGATTGTGAAATGATTGTGAAATTGAGCAGTGCGCTGCCCTTTAAGAGGAGAGTGGGATGTTTGCTGGAGCGTGTGTGTGTGTTAGCAGGCGGGTGGGAGTGTGAGGCCCGTATGCCAACTGACAGAGACTGGCATTTGGCCGCGGGAGGAGTGATTATGGGACGACAGCCTCCTCTCCGTGGCCCACAATACTCACTGGTTCCCGCTAATGCTCCGAGCTGCCTTCCTGACTGTGTTACCCTTCTTTGTCTCCATAGCACTTTACCTGAATCTCCGCCCGACTCTGGCTCCGAGCCGTACTCCCCTCAACAGGTGAACGGTAAGTCCCCACCCTCCCCCCACAAACAGCCATGGAGTGAGTGATCAATCTTATCTGAGGGATTGTCGGCCAGGACACTGGGAGTGAGAACCTCCCTTCTCTTTACCAACAGCGCCATGGGATCTTTAACCTTCACCTGAACAGGCAGACGGAACCTCGCTTTAAAGTCTCAAATGAAGGACGGACCCTCCGACAGTGGAACACACTCCCCCAGTGCTGCGTTGGAGCATCAGCTTAGACTGTGTATTCAAGTCCCAACATGAGTTGCGAACTCACAACCTTCTGACTCAGAGGCGAGAGTGCTACCACTGTGCAAGGCTGACACACAGTCCGACTTTCATTGGCTAGGGTTCCAATGAGCTCCTGTCTGAGTGAGGGCGTGACCACATGCCTGACATATCTGCGGCTTTTATTTGCCAGCTGCACATCGCTGGGATTGGGTGGGGGGTGTCTGGCTGGAGAGAGATTGTCAAAGAGTATCGATCAGGAGCCTGTGTCAATGGGCTAGTGTTTCCTGCAGTCTCTCTGGGCTGGGGTCCCGGGATCTTATCCCGCGGCTGCCGACCTTTCCTGTTGTCAGGAGATCCCGTCAACTTCTGGCTGCTGGGAATTCCCTCGTGTCTGTGATTCTCACTTTTGGGGGAGAAGCAGATTCTTGAGTGGGAGAGTGAATAGGAGAAAGAGAGAGAAAGGGCGAGAGATAGAGTAAGGGGAAGAGATTTTTTTTTGGTCAGCCGGGCGTCTGACAAATACGGAAACCCATCACCATGCTTAAAAGTATCCAAACCAAGCTGAGATTTCCATGGGCATCCCACCTACACATGGAACTTCCAGAGACAGAATGCTGGGGGAAGAGATAGAGACCAGGTGTGGGGGAGAGAGTTGAAAGGCTGGTTACAGTGTCTGGGGAACAGATGAGCTGGACTACAGGTTGAGTCACTGATGATCTCTTTGCTGATGTGACTCCAGCTCCCTCGCACTGTGGGACTCAGTCTCTCGTCCCGGCAAGTGCTCTGTGATAGCCATGCTTGATAGCCTCATGCTTCACACAGTTCTGTAGCGTAGTGGTTCACGCACTCGCTTTGCAAGCGAGAGGACCCGTGTTTGATTCCCGGGCGAGGCAAAACCTTAAGGTGACTTTCCTTACTCCACACGCCTTGGTTTACCTAGCAGTAAGTAGGATTGGCTTGTCGATTGGCGGACCGGTGGTAATAATCCCGCGAAACAAAATTGGTCACTCAATCCATAACTGTTTGTGGGACATTGCTGTGTGCAATTGGCTGCGCAATTTCACCCACAAAATACACAATCAATCCAGTTTACAGTATATCCTGTGAAGTGCTTTGAGACGTCTCAACATGACATGCAAGGGTTATTATTATTATTATTATAAAGGGACTAAGACTCTCTCTCTCCCTCTCTCCGCAGAGTCCCACCTGCTCCGCACCATGACCCCGGAGCACGTGTGCCACCTGCCCCCACCATCGCGGCTGGAACCGGGGGCTGGGTCCCACCTGCCGCCCGCTCCCCACTACCCCGGGCTAACTGGGCGTGACCTGTACCTGAAGCCAGAGCTGATGCCCCCATACCCGCTGGCCCCCACCGACCTGCTGCCCCCCCAACCGCCACATGTACTGCATCAGCTCCTCCAGCACCACCCAGAGTAAGATCCACACACCACACTCAATCCTTCTCCTTCTGCCCCACTCACTCTCGTTCTCTCTACCCTGCTCGCTCTGTCTTGTCTGCTCTCTCTCCCATGCTCTCTCTCTCTCTCCTTCTCTCTCTCTCTCCCGTTCCTCTCACTCTCCCCCACGATCTCCTCCTATCACTTCTCTCTTGAATCGCCTTTCTGTCTCCCCCTCTTTCCATCCCCTCCCTCCTGGTCTCCATCCCCCCTCTCTCTCTCTTTCCCCTCTCCCTCTTCCCCCTCTCCCTCTTCCCCCTCTCACCCTCTCTCCTAACCTGGGAATCTCGCTCTCTCTCCATAGTGGAATCCCCATTCACGCAGCAAAGAAACGGAAACACTCGGACTCTCCTCCCAACACGCTCAACAGCCAGATGCTGAATGGCATCATCAAACAGGAGCCAGGTAAGCCACACACAGCACAGCATGGACCAGTATAGTGTGGTACACACACACACACACACACACATCTGTCCTACACTGCATCCCCAAATAACAGCTGCAATCGATTGGGGAATGTCGGTTGTCTGGCTCAGTCGCTCGCACTCTCAACAAGCCATGGTGAAGTCTCATTCCAGGCTGACGCTCCCGTGCTGTGGGAGCTCTGCAGGGAGGCTGCCTGTCGGAGATGCCGTCCTTCGATCGATACATTAAACTGAGGTCCCATCATTATTATTACCTCACTATGTGCCTCGTCGGCTACTGTGTGTTGTGTATCGTGCACTGTGTACGATATGCCGTGTGCCCTGTGCCGTGTTATCGTGTGCCGTACCCGGTGCGGTGCTCACTCCCTCGCCGCTCTGATCACCAGGGCTGACGCAGGACACCGAGAGCCTGAACAGTTCCTACCTGGACCCCAATTACCAGTGTATCAAGTGGCAGCCGCACCAGCAGAGCAAGTGGGTCAGTCTGTGCGACATCAACTGCAAGGATCTGTGAGTAACACCAACAGTGACCGGGGTGGGGGTGGGGGAGCAGGAGAGAGCAGGGCTTGGCAGAGTCCGTCAGTTCTTGTAAAAAGGAAGTTTGTGTGTAGGGGTGGGGGGAGAGCATCATTTGATATGGACCTGATAGGTCAAACGGCCTGTTTCTGCTCCAAAACATACCAAATATTAATAATATAATAAAATTATATAATCCTTGCATTAGGTACAACACCATTCACGTTGGGAGGAGGTCCCAAAGCGCTTCATAGGGTTCACTGTGACTGTCTATTTGTGGGTAAATCTAAGATTCTCAATATCAAACTCGCATCATGAAAAACATCAGATTCAAGCTGATCAGGGAGGTCTACTGTGGGCTGAGCAAAGCCTCCTCTCTCCCTCACGCACTGTGCATTAGCACAATCTCTATCTATATAATGGACTGCCCCCCACCACCCCCCAAACACACACACCACGATCGCCCCCTCTCACAGCAGTCAGACACTGAGCTGGCAAAGATGGAAGCAAATAAATCTCGGCTATTGAATGTCAGGTCAGATATTCTAGCCTTGGCTTTGTAGCTGCGGGAACCATCCCTGACCCCTGGCCCAGGGCCTCTCTATCTCACTGAGCTGCCTGCCTCCATAACACGGCATTGGGGGCTCTGGGCTGGCGACCAGGGGCAAGGGGCAGGTGGCTGTTGGCTGGGGGCTCTGGGCTGGGGGCTGGGGGATGGGCGCTGTCGCTGGGGGATGGGGGCTGGAAGGATTTACGGGGGGATTAGAGAGTGGGTTGGCATGAGCGGGGGCCTCTGGGAGGAATGTGTATAACAGGGGAACAGGAGTCTTTCTGATTCCTGTGTGTGGGGTTGTGTGTGGGGGCGGCTGTGTGTGTGTGTGGGGGCGGCTGTGTGTGTGTGTGTGGGGGGTGCGGCTGTGTGTGTGTGGGGGGGTGCGGCTGTGTGTGGGGGGGGCGGCTGTGTGTAGGGTGGGGGGCGGCTGTGTGTAGGGTAGGGGGGTGCGGCTGTGTGTGGGGTGGGGGGGCGGCTGTGTGTGTGGGGGGGACTGTGTGTGTGGGGGGGGACTGTGTGTGTGTGGGGGGGGGGCTGTGTGTGTGTGTGGGGGGGGCTGCGTGCGTGGGGGCAGTGTGTGTGGGGGGCGTTAGTGGCTGTATGTGGGGGCGGGGAGTGTCTCTGTGTGTGGGGGGTGGTTGTGTGTGCGTTGGGGCTGTGTGTTGGGGGGGTGCGTATGTCGGCGGGGGCTGTATGTGTGTATTTGTGTGGGGTGTGTGCGCGGGGTGGGTCACAGCTTTGCTCCCGATGAGATCTCTGGCTGAGAGGGAACGCTGAGCAGGGACAGTGCATCAGCTGCCGACTGACATTAACCACATGGAGCTGAGCTGTCTGTCCGTGCCATGCTGTGCCGGGCCGCTGTGGGCTTGGCCGTGAGCTTAACCATTCCCCACACCCCCCCCAGAGCTCAGGGAAATGCCGAGAGCGGTTTGTGAGCCTAAGAGCATTCCTCTCATTCCTGGGGCAGGGGGTGTGTGTGGAGGCATCCCTGGAGAAATGGGATCTGAGTCGTGTAGCCACACTAAACAGCCATCTACATACATCATCTCTCTCCCCACCTCATCCAAACCATCTCTTCCCCCCACCTCATGGAGTCCCGTAGTGTAGTGGTTAGCACGGTTGACCAGATTTCGATTCCGGGGTTGGGGGGGTGAAGCTTAGGCAAGTTTCCTTACTCCACACGCCTCTGTAAACCTAGCAGTAAATAGGAACCCGATTGTTATTTAAATGGCGGATCACTTTATGGGGGGAATAATCCCTCCAAAAAAGAAAAAAGTTGGTCATTCATTCCACAACTGTTTCTGGGATGCTGCCCACAACATACACAGTCATTCCACTTTACAGTATATTCTGCGAAGTGCTTTGAGATGTCTCAATGATGTGATAAGATGGCATATCAAATGAAGGGATTATAATTATTATTATTATAACAATCTCACCCCGTCCCCCACCCCATCCAAACCATCTCCCTTCTTCTCTATCTAAAGCATCTCTCTCCCCAACCCAGCCTCTCCTCAATACCTATAGTCCTGCACACATCCTCATGAATCTACACTCAATCCTCTCAAAAAGTCTGCCTTTCTATGGTGCCTCATTATGTCACTCAAACCTGCACACAATATTCTAGGTCCAACCACCGCCAACAACAACTTGTATGTATATAGCGCCACTCACGCAGGGTTGCGTCTCAGATGGCTTATGAACTGATGTCTTCTAAACACTGATCGTGGTTTGCTGTCCCTGTGTCTCTCAGCCCCAGTCCCAGTTATAGGGTGGACGCTGACAAAGGCTTCAACTTCTCCGTCCCCGACGATGCCTTCGTCTGCCAGAAAAAGAACCACTTCCAGGTCACGGTGTACGTCGGTATGATCGGCGACCCTAAGTACGTGAAGACACCTGACGGGCTGAAACCCATCGATTGCTTCTTCCTGAAGCTGCACGGGGTGAAGGTGGGTCAAGGGGGTGGGGTGGGGGAAACCTTACAACAGGCTAGCCATGGACTCTTCAATTCTCTCTGCCCAAACAGTGACTATCTTAAGGAGATCCATGCTGCACTGGCTCCAACGTGTTATGTTTGGTAATGGAATGTTAGAATCTAGCCCACCCTCTGTGATGGTCTCTAGTTAGGTTCTTGAGCTAGGCCTGAAGTATTCCAGGCACTGCTGGTGACTGTACAGCCAGCCTGGCTCATTGGCAGAACTTGGAAGGGCAGACCAGTCACTGGGGGCAGGAAATCCTCCCACTAAGCTCCTGTTAACCCTGTAAGCCAAAGGCCTAATGGGTAGGGTGGTCCTAGCTGGACAAGCAGTGGGAAAGCTTGCCAGAGAGCGCTCGCAATGGTAAGAAATGCGGTTTTAGCTGATCAGACTCCAGCAATTACCCCAACACACACTCTGTGTCCCCAAGCCTTGGCTCCTACCAACCTGCTTCTAATACTCTGTAGAATTAGGTGTCCCTCCGAAGGGAGAAAGTTCACATTCCATTCCAGACACTGGGAAATATCCATGAGTAGGTAACATACAGGGACCACTCAGGCTGGTTTTGATACTTTTAAGGAACCATTGTTGAGAGATATTGAGTGATATGGAGAGCTGAGGGGTTTCTGCACTTGTCAAATCTCAGCTAACCCCCAAAAAATCAACTCAGGTACTGAATGTTGTCATTGAGCTTTCCCATCTAGGAAACTCAATTCCAGCAGTGCTTTGGGTGGGACGAGGGTTGGGCTGTGACAGGGACACGGAGGGGTGGAACACTCGCTGATTATTTCATTCTGATGTTCACTAGTTGGAAGCAATGAACCAGAGCATCAACATTGAGCAGTCACAGTCAGACCGCAGCAAGAGGCCCTTCCACCCTGTCACGTAAGTACAGGTACTGAGTGATGGTGAGAGATGGTGAAGGATATTGAGGGAAGGTGAAGGATGATGAGTAGTGGTGAGTGGTGATGATACAGTGGATAATCTTGTGTTCCACAGGGTTAACATCCCTTCTGATCAGGTCACGAAAGTCACGGTTGGAAGGTTACATTTCAGTGAGACAACAGCCAACAACATGAGGAAGAAAGGCAAACCTAACCCAGACCAGAGGTGAGTAGTAGTGAGGGTGTCAGTGAGGTCTCCATCACTAGCCACAAGCTGGTAACTCAAGCGTTCTGGGACGTTACCCTGCATGAGGGGCGCTATATAAATTTAAGTTGTTGTTGTTGTTGTTGTAACTCCCTTATTATTACTCTCTCAAACCTTCTTCCATTTCTCTCTTTTTTCCGTGCTCTCGTTCCCTCTTTCCTTTCCCAGGTATTTCATGTTGGTGGTGGGGTTACAAGTTCAAGCTCAAAACCAGAACCACACGGTGGGGGCTCACGTCTCTGAGCGAATCATCGTCAGGGTAAGGGCCTTGTAACTCCCAGGCCATGTATGTGAGGTGTGCGCACACGTGTGTATTGTATAGAAGTACAGAGGCCAGTCCAGGTCAGACACTGCCTGACTCCAGCTTTCAGGGACCCTTTGGTCAGTGCTTTAGTTTGAAATGTCAGGGGAGATTGGGGCTGACATTGTTATTGTCAGCATTCACGAGGTACCTGCTCATTGGATGGTTAAAGACATTATGAACAACTCCGTAACAATTATTATCAATGATGGATGGATATAATTGTTACTGACAATGAGCAGTTACTAATCGAGAATCATACTAACCATGAATAGTTACTAATAGAGAATTATTAATAACCATGGATAGTTACTACTAGAGAATTATTACTAACCATAGACAGTTACTATTAGAGAATTATTAATAAGCACAGACAGTTACAATTGTTATTGACAATGGATGGGAACGGTTATTACTGATATTTGATGGCAGTGTTAGTTAGTACCGATGGCTGGCTGCTGAGATGGATGGGAACTGGTGCTGGTTTGTCTCAGTCTGTTCTCGTGTGTAGTCTCAGCTTTCTCTGTTCTTCATTCACAGAACACGGCACAGGTGAGCCATTTTATTGCTTAACACTGACACAAAAGGAGGTATTACACAGCCTAGGTACAGTGGAGCTCTTTATTATCAGTAGCTGTGCAGAAGGAGGTAAGTTTGAGCACTGAGACAGGAGGGCAGCGATGCCAATGTAGAGGGTGGGAGAGGGGGTGAGAGTGCCCAGAGAGGCCAGGGGTTGGTGCAGTGTTAGAGGGACACCGTACAGAGCCGGAGGGCCTCACCTCATTGAGGATCTCAAACTAAGAAATTGGAGTGTTTACACTGCCGTTCAGCCCAGCGATAAGCCAGACTTCTTAGCTCAGTCTCCAGATACCAGCCAGAGGCTGATAATAAACTGGCTCCACTGTAAAGGTTAACACTGTTCTTGAGGCATTTCGTTCAAGGTTACTTGCACGTGTCACATCCTCTGGCCTGACGCTGCCAGGCTAATTCATCCATTAAATTCAAAATCCGCACCAAATTCCACACCCTCGTCACCCCAGTCCCTGCCAGACTCCACTAACTCCCTATCATAGAACAGATCAATTTCAAGAACCTCACAATTGTGTACAAATTCCTTCACAACCTAACACCTCCCTATCTCTCCGACCTGTTCACACCCAACTCCACTTCCCGTCACCTTCACTCAGCTGGCTCTGGCCCTCTGCACATCACTCGTCCTCTCCGCCCCACCATCGGCGACCTTGCTTTCAGCCAATGTCTCTGATCCTCTGTCACTCTCAGCCACAATCCCTCTCCCTTGCCCCCTACTTCCCTGTCTTCAAATCATGACTGAAGACCTTTCTCTTCGACCGTGCCTACGGTTACTTCGCCGGCTTGGTGTCAGACTCTGCCGCTGTTAAGCGCTCGAAGACTCTACCCTGCTTGAAGGGTGGTACATAATTACATGCCTCTCTCACCCTCTCACACAATCTTTCCATTCTCTCCCAATACATATCATTTCACTCTCTTAAGATCTCCCTCTCTTTTCCTTCTCTCCTACACTCTCTCCTTTTATCTCGTTTTTTTCTGCTTCTCATCTTTATTCTCACTTTCTCTTTCTCACCCCTCTCCTCTATCTCACCTTCTTCTGTTCTCCACTTTAACTCTATGATCCCACTCTCTCTCTCTCTTGCTGATGCTCCCTGGCTCACACATGCTGTGTTTGGCAGTCACGTTGTATCTGTTATATCAGTGTGCTCTCTTCTCTCAGCGGGACGTTCCCAGCCCCGCGCTCTGCCTCTGATGACGAGACAGGGCCATTCAAGCTGCACAATGAATGACCAATTCATTTGGGGGATTGTCGGTCAGGTTACCAGGAGAGAGAAACTCCCTTCACTTTTCATGGGGTGTTTAATGTCTCATCTGAAGGACGGCACCTCTTGTCAATGCTGCACTCCCCCAGCAATGCACTGGAGCGCCAGCCTGGACTGTGAGCTCAAAGTCCTGACATCAGGCTTTAACCCACAACCTTCTGACCCAGAATCGAGGGCAATTTCAGCGGAGCCAGTGAGATTGCTGGGGAGCAGGTGGTTTCTGGAGTTTTCCAAGAAGTGGTGTCGGAGAGAGCTGCGCTAACGGGTGAGAGAGTTAACAGGATCCAGGATGGATGTCTACGGGTGGGTTTGAAGGGATTTTGCTAACGTTGGAACCTCCACCAGGCGAGTTTAACCCTTTCGCCACCTGATGCCTGTAGCTGTTATTATCCAGGCTTGAACAAAATGCCTCAGAACTGTGTTAACATGCAGCTCAGAACAGCGATGAGAGGAGTCTGCAGTCTCTCGTGGGATTTTTAACGTGTGTGTGTGTGTGATACCCAAACCAAAAGGCATCCCATCATTTTCACTTCCAGTCGATAAACTTTAGACATATAACTCTGATCTCCAGCAGCCACAATGTCTTTTAAAGGGGCAGTGATTTTACGAAAATCTGTCTAGCAAAACCTTTCGTCTTTTGTATCCAAGCGATGGGAGGAGGGGAGAGGCTGTTAGCGCTGGGCGGAGGGTGGGAGGAGAGAGTATCAGCACCGCTTCTATCATATCACACAGGCATCGAACGCGTGCCACAACCACAAAGTAAAAGTTTTAACAAAGATTCTCCTTCCGCTTACGACAGTGTGTTTTTTTTTGGCTGGAATAGGGGAGGGGAAGGGGTTGGTGGGGGTCCCAGGGCAAGAGATTGACTGCTGATGTCTCCGACTGGTCCATATGTGAGAGGCGAGGACACAGTGGGGGAATGTGTCATAGACAGAAGCTCCCTCTGCACTGTCCATCCACAGGTCAGGGACAGCACGGGTTAGTGACACTGTAAAGCTCCCTCGACATTGTAAGAGTGTCACAGCGCGCCCTGGTGTGTCAGGGTGGGATATCCTAGTTCCTGCACCAAATCTGTAGGTGATTTAGAAACAGGTTTATGATGGATCAGTCCGTTCAAAAACACATTTCGTATGACATAAACAAAGATAGAGATAAGAATGTAGGTGCGCACCTGCATATTTTGTTTAATTCTGGGGCACAGGTCCAGAGAGCATTGAATAAGTTGGCCTTTACACAATCGGTTCTGGGCCCAAATTCCAGGCAGTCTTAGCCTGTCAAGGTTTAAAGTTCAAGTCGTTCAGGATTGTTAAAGATTCTTTAATCCAGTCTTACATTAGAAAGCGGATTCTTTTTAAGAAAAAAAAAGGCTTCCAACCACCACAACAACCACAGGTTACATTTTTATAGAGCCTTTCATGTTGGGAGGACGTCCCAAGGCGCAGGACAAGGATTTGTACCTGAGCTGGGGTTTGAGATCAGGAGGGGTGGAAGGCAGGGAGGGTGGGGATAGGAGTTTCCTAAATAAAAATAAATAAAATATAGTTTATTGTTCCAGCTCTCAACCGAATTGGAGAATTTACATAATTTAAATGTTAAATCACGATAGTCTTACAGGAAAACTAGGCAGTTTCAGGAGTCTGGTTTATTAAAGGATGTGAGTGCTGAGCCCTAGTGTGGAGTGTTTGTGTTGAGTTTTGGGTAATAAATGTGTTGACAGACTGATGGACGGATGGACCTCAGAGAGCATCCAGGGTCTATGGGTATCCAGTGAAATTGTGTGTGATCATGTCAGACAATGACTTTGACAGTGAGGGATGGGTGTATGAACTATGAGCGTTAACTGTGCATATGTGTGTGTTTGTGACAGACTGAGGTTGAGATCAGCCACTCAGTACAGAGAAAATTGCCACCAAGGGTAGTGACTGTATTTCTAGGCAAGAGTATTGACCAAAGCCACAAGAAGATACATTTTGATGTCTGATGGGGCGGGATGTGTGTCAATGTTAATTGTTCAGTTTTAGTTGGTTAAATCCGAGCAGTTACCCCAATGCACACGCTGAGGTCCCCCAAGACATCTCAATTACGTGATAAGGCATATATCAAATGCAAGGATTATTAATATTATTATTCGTTGTGTGTTTGAGCTGTGTGTTGGAGTATGTGGGCTCAGTGCAGTGATAGCTGTGTGTTATGTTGTGTGACTGGGCTGTGCTTATGGCTGTGTCTGACTCCCCCCTGGATGTGGCTGTGTCTCGCAGGCCTCTAACCCCGGGCAGTTTGAGAGTGACACGGACGTACTGTGGCAGCGAGGCCCGCTCCCTGACACCGTCTTCCACCACGGCCGCGTTGGCATCAACACCGACCGGCCCGACGAGGCCCTGGTCGTCCATGGCAATGTCAAGGTCATGGGGTCGCTCCTGCACCCGTCAGATGCCCGAGCAAAAGAGAACATCCAGGAGGTGAGCAGGGGAAGGGGATGGAGCGGGCAAGGGGATGGGGTGGGCAAATGGACGGGGTGGGGCGAGGGGATGGGGGCAAGGGGACAGGGGTGGAGCAAGTGGACAGAGCAAAGGCTACAGTGGGGTTGGAGGTAAGGGTGGGACAAGGGGTGGAGGGAGAGGAAGGTGGAGTTATTGGGAACCTCGGTGAAGGTCTTTGAAATTTGAGGGTCTGACAACAGGCGCATGGTCACGAGTTTGAGTGAGCGACAAGAGAAGTTAATATGATTGCCAACTAGGGTGAGGGGATGCTGACGGAAGCTCAGGGGAGAGATGGAGTTGGGTGTCATCTGCGCACAATGTGGAAGTGGACCCTAGTCTGAGGATAATGTCACCAAGTGGTAGTATATAAATGGTGAAAAGGAGAGGATCAAGAATAGAGCCCCGAGGAACTGCGCAGAGGGTGGTGGGGGCATTGAGGCAAAGTGGAGATGGTGGGACAGGAAGGAGTGATACCAGTTAAGTCATTGGAGGTGGATCAAAGAGGAGAGATGATGGAGAAGTTTGGGTGGTCAGCAGTGGCTAAGGTGGCAAAGAGATCAAAGAGGATAAGGAGATATCGAGAGCCCTGGTCACAGACAGAGAGAGCCTCTGTCATTGGTGAATAGCAAAGAAGCTATTGCACTGTGTTCTGAATAGAGTTCTGGTTACCATATTACAGGAATGATGGTGTAGCAACAACGACGACTTGCATTGATATAGCGCCCTTCACACAAAGCAATACCTCGGAGCTAACATTGGAGAGAAAGAGAGTAGATATACAGAGCTGATCCCAGACTGAATGACTAGAGTGTCAGGACAGAGTGGCCAGCTCACAGCTTCTTCCTTTGGAGCTCAGAGGATTGGGAGGGGACCTGATCGAGGGGGATATCATTAGGGAAGAATTTGATAAGGTGGATGTTGATAGGTTGTCTCCATTTGTTGGTGAGTCTGTAACTAGAGGATGTAAGTAAAGGCCAGTCAGTAAAATCTAACAGAGAGTTTAGGAAGAACATCTTCACACAGCGGCTGCTGGGGATGGCAAAGGGGAATAGAGGGGTGAAGAAGAGGGAAATGGGAGGAGTGGAGGTCGAGTGGCAGTTTTGATGCTATCGATTCCATGTATTGTGTGGGGAGGATGGGGGAGCAGAGTTGGAGGTACAGGGAGTTGGGGGAGAGGGATGAGTGGAATGGGAGCCAGCCCGATGGAGCCGGGGCGGGAGGTGGTAGATGGAGTGACAGTCGGGAAGGGTCCAGTGGAGTTGGATGTTTTGCTGCGGGGGATTTTGGGGGTGGGGGTGGTATTGGGAACGCCAGGGCCGAGGCCTGAGCTGTGCTCCTCTTGTGCAGGTGGACACGACAGAGCAGCTGCGGAGGATCACTCAGATGCGACTGGTTCAGTATCAGTACAAGCCAGAGTTCGCCTCCTCTGTTGGCCTCGAGGACACAGCAGAGACAGGTACAGGCTGAGAGGCCCCTCGCTCGCTCACTCACTCGTTCCATGTACATAGTCCTGGAGTCCTGTAGCTCAGTGGTTAGAGCACTCGCTTTGCAAGTGAGAGACCTGAGTTCAATTCCAGGCAGGGCGAAACCTTGGGCAAGTTTCCTTACTCCACACGCCTAATAATAATCCCTCCAAAACTAAAAACAATAATTAAATTGGTCATTTTTAATCTATGACTGTTTGTGGGACATTGCTGTGCGCAATTGGCTGCCGCGTTCGCCCACAAATATACAGTCAATTCACTTTACAGTGTGTTCTGTGAAGCGCTTTGGGACGTCCTCCTGACGTGAAAAGCGCTATATCAAATGCAAGGATTATTATTATTATTATTATTATTATAGGAACAACAATAAATTACAGAGGAGGAAGTTAAGAATGAGTTATACGCTGGAATCTTGGCAGCTCAGAGCTGGGGAACCATGTTTGATTTACCTGTGGTGGAAAAGTGACCGCAACAAACAGCTGAGAGTTACAGGCTGGAGTCAGGGGATGATTGACACAATACAATACAAAATAATATTTGTATAGTGCCTTTCATGTTGGGAGGATGTCCCAAGGTGCTGGACAGTCAAATGTTTGCACCCGAGCTGGGAGTTGGGATCAGGAGGGGTGAAGGGTGCGGAAGGTAAGGGGTAGGAGGGAGATCGAACGCGTGGTTGAAGAAGAGGGTTTTGAGACGTGTCTCAAAGGAGGCAAGGGAGGGAGCGAGGGAGAGGGACTGGATGTTGAGCAGAGATCAGCCATGTATGCAGTCTAGATTATTGATTAAATCAGATTTTCTACGACTTACAGTTTAGTTTGCCTGAACTCAGACTTTGTGTAAGTCATATTAAATGTTACTGTCCCGACTGATACGGCTTCTGTGAGTTTTACTGTGCGAAGGTTTGCTCTCGCCCACATTGTGGTGCCTCTCTCTCTCTCTCTCTCCCCCAGGGGTTATTGCTCAAGAGGTGCAGGAGATCATGCCGGAGGCGGTGAAGGAATCGGGAGACGTGGTCTGTGCCAACGGAGAGACCATCGAAAACTTCCTGGTGGTGAACAAGGTACAGAGCGCCTGCTGTCGGGAAGGAAGCAGATAGCCAGCGCCCAACAGACACCCAATTCCACCCAGGCTTAGGCTGTGAGACCGTTTGGGTTTTAAATTGTAAGAGTTGTATCAGCCTGATCTCTGTTGTCTCAGGAGCGTATCTTTATGGAGAACGTGGGAGCAGTGAAGGAGTTGTGCAAACTGACTGACAACCTGGAGACTCGCATCAACCAGCTGGAGACCTGGAGCCGCAAACTGGCCAAACTCAAACGCCTGGACAGCATGAAGTCCACCGTGAGCGGGGGCACCCTCAGGTACCCGGGGAGGTACACGATGGGGGTGGATACATGGGGGAACCCAAAGCCGAGCCACGCAGCAAGTTGGTGGGAGGGGGTGACTAAGGGTAGAGCCTGGGCAGGTTCCTGTGAAGTCTTTTCTCTCCCTGTAACACTCTGTTTGTCTGTCCGCAGTTTAACAGGAAGCCATTTCAGTCGGGCAGGAAGTGGACCATACAAGAAAAGGCCACCAAAGGTTGGCAGTAAGGTGAGTGTGTGACTCTCCTCTCCTCGTCATGCAGTCACACAACTCTGCCTTGTGTACAGCCACAGCTGAGCCTCAGTCACTCACACTCTCCCCTCTGGGTGGGACAGTTGTCGGATCAAGTCCTATGTCAGGATGTGAGCTCAGAATCAAGGCTGAGGCTTTAGTGCAATGCTGAGGTTGCCTTTTCGATCACAAGGTGTACACAGGATTCACTTTACAGTATATTCTGTGAAGCGCTTTGAGACGTCTCGACGTGATAAAGCGTTATATCAAATGCAAGGGTTATTATCATTATTATTATTGCACATGTTTGTTAGGTGTGATGTTGCAGGGCCTGGGGTTACTTGGTGCCTGCGGGTGGGACAATTGTGCTGTATTAACCCTCATATCTCTGTCCTCAGACTCGCTCCAAATCTCCTGAGCCGGGCTGCCTGAGCCATCGCTTCCTCCAAGGCACCATCATCGCTCTGGTTATTATCATGGCGTTCAGGTACGGGGAGGGCCTGCGTGTGTGTGGGGAGGGCCTGCGTGTGAGGGACAGGGGAGGGGGTTCGTGTATGGGGGCAGGGAGATTCCTAGCGCCTTGTGACGTGCTCCTAACGTTAATGGTGCTGTACAATTGTAATTTGTTGTTGGTGTTAAATCCGGGAAGTAAGGGCTGGTTCCAGACGCCATGTTATGGGATATTTCTGCTACCGGGTGTGGGCTCAGTCGGAGCTGATCTCTCTCTCTCTCTCTCTCTTTCTCTCTCGCTCCCGGTCAGTGTGATATCCATGTCCACTCTGTACGTGTTGAACCTACGGAATGAGGACGGGACAGAAAGCGATGGGTACGTGTCACGGTAAAAGCCAGCCTCTGTTGTCCATTGCGTAGAAATCAGCCTCTTTCGGCTTTGAGTTACTAACTTGTCACCACTTGCCCACACTCCAGCGCAGTGCTGGGGGAGCGCTGCATTGACGGAGGCGCCGTCCTTCACACGAGATGTTAAACTGAGCTCCTGTCTGTGCCTCTTCAGGCGGACGTTAAAGATCCCAACCAGGTTTCTCTCTCCTGGGTGTCTGACCAGAAATTCCCCAGAATAAATTGATCATTCACTTCAGGGCTGGTTGTGGAGCATTGTTGTGTGTTAATTAGCTGCTGGGTTTGTACAGGAGGTTTTAATGAAATGGGAAATGTCAACCAGGAGAGAAGAGAGCTCGTGTACACAGTTGCCTGAGATGTGATGCTGGGCTTCAGGACATTGTTCTGATGGGGAAAGTCCTGGCAGTCTACAGAGGACAGGAGCCTCACCCCCAGCACTGTCCCTCCAGATGGGTCTCCCCCTCTTCCCAGGGTGTAATTCCACACAAAGCCATCGCTGCTGGTAAATCTCAGACTACAGTGCACACCTCACAGCCACTCACCTCGCCTTGTGGAGCAGGTCAGAACCTTGATTGTCTGTTTGATGTACAGGTCGCTGGGGAACACGGAGCAGTATTCCACCAGCAACGTCCCCATCACCCACCCAACCACTTCACTGGGTGGCCACAGTCAGCGCACAGGTAGGTCTCTCTACCCCACACAGCACAACACAGACAAACAATCCTCCACCACAACAGGAGGCATGGTGCCGGGGATAGACACACAGGGCAATGGGCACACACAGTGTGATAGACACACACACACACAGTTTACTGGTTACCCTTACAACAGTGTAATGGACACATTCACACAGACACACACACACAATTTAATGGTCACACGCACACAGTGTAATGGACAAACACCTGAGTCATTGAATCCAATCAGTATATAAATGTCTCCTCTCCGTTTACAGAAGGCTTGACCTCAGTTCCTGACATCTCTGTCTCTCCTCCTCCTCTCAATCTGTGCTACACTCCACCATGTCCAACTGTGTGCTGCTCCCCGAACACCACAGCTCTGCCAGTCAGCAGTGTCCTGACAGCTATCTCTGTCTCAGTCACTCCACCTTCCACCAGTGACGGCCACTCCACCGCTGGTAAGTCTCCGTCTCAGCTCTGTACAGCGTGTAATGTGACTCTCTGTTTAAACTCTCCCATTTACAGCCTGGCTCAGTTGGTAGCACTCTCCCCTCTGAGGCAACTAGAATTGGTCACTCACTCCATGGCTGTTTGTGGGCCACTGCTGTGCGCAATTGGCTACTGTGTTCACCCACAAAATACACATTCATTACACTTTATAGTGTATCCTGTGAACCACTTTGAGATGTCTCGACGATGTGATAAGGCGCTATATCAAATGCAAGAATTATTATTATTATTACTGTTATTTGTATTAATTCTGATTGTCATTTTTATTATTGTTTTATTGTGATTATTATTGTATTATTATTTTATGGTTGTTGTTGCAGACCACACTGGCTTGTCCATCACCAGCATCAAAGCCAAGTCCCGAGTGAACGAGAAGGCAAACAGCTATAGCCGCAGGCAGGAGACCCCCAACTCAGGCTCACATCACCTCAGCCCCCCGCCTCTGCTCACCAACATCCACGGGAAGTCTAAGCTGCCCCCGGGATACTCCAGCACCCAGAACAGCCTGCCCCACAAAGTCCCCCGCAGACACCGCAGGCACACCAGTAACCCCGACTGTGAGTAACTGGAAGCTTGCTGACCCCCACAGGCCTGAGCCACACACACACACATCAGATCAGGGGGAGCCCAGTGTCTGCGCTCAGTGATCTTGTAGAGTAGTGGTTAGAGCACCCGCCTCGTAAGCGAGAAGACCCGACTTTGATTCCTGGCAGCATGAAACTTTAGGCAGATTTCCTTACTCCACACGCCTCTGTTTACCTGGCAGTAAGCAGGAACCCGGTTGTTAGTCGATTGTCGGATGGCTTTCCGGGGGTAATAATCGCTCCAAAAAATGTGGTCACTCAACATTGTTCACTCACTTGATGGCTGTTTGTGGGACACCGCTGTGCAAATTGGCTGCTGAGTTCACCCACAAAACACGCAGTCACTTTACTTTACAGTACTGTATATGCTTTGAAACTCTTTGGGACGTCCTCCTGACGTGAAAAGCAGTGTACCAAATACAAGGATTATTATTATTATGTTATTACAGTTTAAATCTCTCCGTAGAGGTAATTTAATGGGTTTCAGTGATGATCAGGCAGACATATGAATGGATGTTACTTTGAGTTTTCTAAAATATCTACTTTTTGCAAGAGTTTGATGTTTAGCAAGTTTTGAATAGTCTTAATAAGAGTCCCAGTTTCACCAATTATTATAGGAACTATGTTTGTTTCGCACTATACATAATTATTATTAATAATAATTATTACTATGTACACACATACATTCACACGCTCCCACTCATACACACAGGTGTATACCCAGCTGCAGGTTGTGTAAGAGTCTGTGTGTTTTCAGGGTCGGACACGACTTTGAGTGGGATCCAGATTGTGGAGAGTAAACTGTCAATCACACAACGTCACTGCAACTCACTGACTCCCTGCGGGTAAGACCTACGCAAACCAGGAGGGGTGAGGGGGGGCTTTTGGGGGTGGGATTGGTGGGGGGGTGGCTGGTATATATACATCAAGGTCAATCTACACTGGGTCAGTGAGCTGGGAGGAGGGAGAAGATGACTGAAAGCATGGTCACAGAGATAAATCTTAACAGGCTTTAAAAATGTGGGGAGGCCAGAGGTGGGGGGGGGGGAAACACTTGGATTCATTGCGTCTGTGGAATGAGGCCGTGCTTTCGCTGAGCAAAGGGAGCGGCCACGTCAGTATGGTTTGAGGAGGTCGCAGAGGGAGTAAGAAGGTGGAAGGATTCAAAGGCGAGAACAAGGATCTTGCACTTGATCCTCAGGGGACGGGGAGCTGACGGAAGCTGGCAAGGATGGGTGATGATAGGTTGGTAGAGACCCCAAAGTGGGCAGGACAGTGCTGAGGGCTGGACAGTCTGTAGCTTGTGAAGGGACGAGCTGGAGAGTCCGCGGAGCGAGGGGTGTTGATGTAGTCAAGCCTGGACAATGATGAATGTATCCAGTTGGGTCTCGGAGACCAAGAAGGGGGAAGTGGCGGGGGCAAGCTGTATTTCGGAGTTGAAGGAGAGCCTGGATGTGGGGTTTAAAAGGCCAGTTGGGAATTGGAACAGTGAGTTTAACACCAGCTCTGAGAGATGTATCAATGAGATGAAATGAGAAGGCACTGATGGGAGCCAAGCAGGAGAGCCTCTGTCTCTCGTTGATATTCAATGGGGGCTGAACTGGTATGGAGTCCCAGCGGGCTGCTGGTCACTGTGCGGCGAGGGCTAACCCTCTTCTCCTCTCCCCCCTTTCCTCTCCTCTTCTCCTCTCCGCCTCTCTCCTCCTCTCTCTTCTCCCTTCTCCTCCCCTCCCTCCCCTCTCCTCTCTCCACAGGCCGGCCACATATAACTTCTTCATTCCTGTCAGTCAGACCACACCGCTGGATGCCACCATCACACTCCAAATGAAGTGAGTGACTGCCTTTTGAGTCTCCCCCCTTCCCCCTCCCTGGGTAAAGTGCGCAGACCAGACAGGGCTTCGTTCTCTGGTCAGTGAATATTTTGTAAAATGTTGTCCAAATTTACATATTAGGACAAGGGTCTTGAAGGCTAAGCCCGTGGGAAATTGAGGGCTTTTGAAGAGTGATGGCCACTCACTCCTGTGAACGAGGCTGTTAGTGTCTACTCTGGGCCAAGAGCTCTGCGTAACCTTTCTGACACTGTCACTGGGCATCAACCTCACCACCTATCACCAGTCTGAACCACAGAGGAGAAATCTACCCCCTTCGCTCCCCCCCACTCCCCCCACCATAGGCTGACACCCCCCCACTTCTGTGGGCTACCCCCCTCCCCCACCCCATCCCCGTGATCCCCGCTGACATTTGCTGTTTGTTTACAGCACCTCCTCGCCTCTGGTGGTTTCCCTGTGCAGTGTGAGGCATGGGGTGCTGTGTGGGCCTGCCTCAACCTCAACCACAGGACACAGCGAGGGCACAGCTCACACACAGGTAAAACAACAACATACACCTAATAATAATAATCCTTGCACTTGATATAGCACCTCATCACATCTTTGAGACGTCTTAAAGCCCTTCACAGAATATACTGTGAAGTGAATTGACTGTATATTTGGGGACAAAGCATAGGATAACAACAACAACAAACAGGACAGGTACAGGGATGGTGCTGCGATGGGGAGTGGATGGGACAGCTCTACTCCTTGTACACTTTGTCTCCATTGTGATGGTGTACGTGTCTGTGTTTGTGTGTATATCAGTGTGTTTGTGTGAGATCTGTGTGTATGGGTATATCGGTGTGAGTGTGTTTCTGGGACTGAGTGTGTGTATCTGTATCTGTATGCATGCATGTGTGTGTGTACGTGTGTTTGTGTGTGCATGTGTTTAGGGACTGAGTGTGTGTGTGTGTGTGTATGGTTAAGTTTAACCCCTTGCTCTCAGTACCTAACGTCTCTCCGCTGCAGGGAACCTCTCACCTCTGGGAGCTGATGGTGGCTCCCTATCACCACATCACCTACCACTTCCGTGTGGCCGACCCGGTGAGTAGCCAGCGCCTGTCTGCGCTCACCGTGTCATAGCCGGCACGCTCCGCCAAAATCCAGCCTCCCTCAGCCCCCCGGCTACCGGTGTCTTACATTCACACAACACGATGTCTGTGACTCTCTCATTGTGTGTGTGTTGTGTCTCTCTTATTCACTCTCTGCGACTCTCTCTCTTGATGACTATCTCTCTCTTTGTGACACTCACAGTCACTCTCTCTCTTACTCTCTGTCACTCTCTCTCACTGTCACTCTCTCTCGCTCTGTCACTCTCTCTCGCTCTGTCACCCTCTCTCGCTCTGTCACTCTCTCTCGCTCTGTCACTCTCTCTCGCTGTCACTCTCTCTGTCTCAATCACTCTCTCTGACTGTCATTCTGTCTCTCTCTCTCCCTCTTTCTCTCCCCACTGACGCTCTCCCTTTCCCTCCTCAGAGCCGAGCTTCCTGTGACAGTGAGAGCAGCTTCGCCGGCCAGACCTTCACTGATTACAGCCTGAACTTCTACCGCACGTGTCACTGAGGGTGAGAGGCACTGCCCGCCAGTGCCACCCCCCCACCCCCCTCACCCCCCCCCGCAGCTCAGTGCCTGGTGATGGTGTGTGATATACTCACCGCTCACTGACAGGCTTGCTGAGCCGTTCCCCCACCTTCGACCCCCCCCCACCCCATCCTGCTGGCTCAGGACGTCTCTGGCACAGGCGGGGGTGGGGGGGTGGAGGTTTGAGGGTAACGAATAAGAACAACAACTTGCATTTATATACTGCACCTCACGTAGGGCAGTGTCCCAGAGCCTTGTGCTGTGCAGTAGAAAGCCTGTTACACAGTGTGGGTTAGTGGCCGACAGACACAGATTCCACACCTCAAGCTTTTCATCAAATCAGAAATATGACAGTGACAACAGCCCCCCACCCCCATTCCACGCCCCCCCCCCCCACCCACACCAGTACTGAGTGAGCAACAGCACAGCAGGGTGGGGGCTGGAGAGAGAGCGCGGAGAGAAAGAGGAGGTTGTTATGGTACGTTTCTTTAAGGATCATTTTCTCCATTTTCGCTGATATTTTTGCTGAAAGTCAATGGGTGTTTAATCCCAAAGTACAATAAGTGAGCTTTGATGTCAGTGTCCGGGGAGGGATCTCCCATTGATCTCCCCGGCTGTCTGTCTGTCTGTCTGTCCGTCCATTTACCCCCAATTTCCAATCACTGGAAAACATGAGACAGACAGGCTGTGTTGATGAACACGTATAGATACTCACACACACATACAGATACACGCACAGATACTCACACACATATATAGATACACAAACATATAGATTCTTACACACACATAGAGATACACAAACATATAGATACTCACACACACATACAGATACACAGACATATAGATACTCACACACACATATAGATACTCGCACACATACATACATAGAATATCATAGAATGCTTTATGTATTATGCTCCTCATGAGCCTCAACCTATCCTTCCTTAACTACATACACACATACAAATACATACGCACGGACAACTACTTAAACACATATATGTTCGTACATATACACACATATACACATGTACACACGGAAACATATTGGCACACACGTGTACACATAGTCTACTGGTTTCTGGGGTAAAGGAAGTCACTTTATTTGGGTTCACCATTTCCCCCCTCACCCTGGGGGCTGTTCCTGGTGTTGCCCAGAATTCCCGGTGACATCAACACAGGCATCGCAACCCCCAGAGGCGGGGGATATGGGGGAGAGACAGGTGGCAGTTGCTGTGACAAGTCCTGAAGCAGCAAGTGATAATGATAACCTTCCCATGTTAGACACACACTGGTTTCAGCTCTTGGAATGTGCTCCGTGCTGGGATTTGTGATCCCCAATTCCCCCCCCCCCCCACTACCCCACACACACACTGGTTACACGATCAGTTCCCGTTCAGAACGTGAGCTGAATATTGGGGGATATTTTTCGCCCTCTGACACTTTATGATAAAATGTAAAATTAACTTTGTGAAAACTGGATTGTGCCAAACTGTAAAAGACGCCCCCACCCCACTGTGCCCCCCCACCACACCCGATCGATCAGCTGTGAGCTGCAATGTACATCCCTGCAGCTCACACAGCCTCTCAGTGGTAACGCAAGCGACTTAAACCTCCCAATAACTGGACGTTCAGTAGCGTTACACATCGCAAACTAGCTCCAAGCTCCCTGTAAATATGTCCTCTTCTCCTCGCTGTTGCAATCATTTCTAAAAGCACTAATTTTTTTATATCCTGGGGGGGGGGTGGGTTGGTGGGTGTAGCAATAATGTAAGACTGAGACCACTCTCACAGCACCTCAGAGCATGCGATTAGATAGCGCTTGAAGTCAGTCTTAATATTACCTTCTGGTGGTTTGTGGGACATTGTGTGCAAATTGGCTGCATCACACTTAACAGTGATTACCTTTGGGAACATTCATCATTCTAGGTGTTGATCAACAACAACAAATTACGTATATTTGTGTAGAGCCTTTCACATCAGGAGGACAGCCCAAGGTGCTGGATCAAATGCCAAGGTTAGAATAATAATCCTATTTAAATAGCACCCTGTCGCATCGTCGAGACATCTCAAAGGATATTTTGAAGCCTTAAAAAGGATCCCACAAACAGCTTCAAAATTGAAGAGTGAAATTTAAGATTTGGTCCAATTTTGGATGCTCCGAGCTGCTAGTGTGAAGCAGGTGGTTCTCTCTTCCCCCGTGTGTCCTATTGGCTGTGTTTGTATTACTGTTTGATAGGGGATGTCGGTTCCTTTGTTTCACGTAGGCTTAGCTTACGGAGGCGTTTCTGATAGCTTCTCGTCTCGCCTGTATGTGTTCTAAAAGTCCTTTATATTATTTTGAAATATATTTATTATTGTTCTGAAAGTCTTGTCTGTGGACTCTGGCCATGGGGCCCGGTTCACCTGTGTGTCTGACTGACTTGGGAAGTGGTGTATTAAGAGAAAGAGAGAGAGAACTGGAGACAGAATCCACCTGGCTAGAGATTTCAAAGTCGAGACTGTTCAACGATTTGCCAGAATTCCACATGCTCTGAAACGCGACTTAAATTAGAGTAAATGCAGGTGCGGGTGGAATGTCTCCCTGTTAAGTGTGTGGCAGCAGCAGGGATGGAATGGAAGTATATGTGGGGGGGAAGCGGTAAATGTTACATGTTAAAAGAGGTCCCCTTGCCAATAAAAAGGTCCTAATTTGCCAGTTGTGTTAACCATGTGCAAAGAAGCAATTACAGGTTCCCTCCATTCTTGTAGCTAAGCTAAATGTGTACAACCACAGCGTCACCTACAGTTAGCATTTGCAAACAGAATCCCGCAGTCACTGCGGGCTTAGGTTTGACCAAAACTGGACTGTTGAGAATTCACTTCGGCTGGCTCCTGTCACTGCTAGATTGGCGGGGGGGGGGGGGGGAGTGGGCGGTGGTTGATGGAGGTTGGAGTGCTCCAGATCTATAGAGCTGAGTTGAGACGAGGTGAGAGGTCTGATAAGTGGGTTTTGGAGACAGCTCATTCAGTGTAAGCTGCTCTCCTCCTCCACCCTCCTCACAACTTGTCGCCAGTTCCCTCAATCCAGCTCCTCTGCCCCAGCCAAGCCCACCCCATCCCCATTCCAGCCCTGTCTCCCTTGCTGACTAATATTGGGGATAAAACACACAGGGCCTTTGCTCCGGGAAATCGCCGTGCTTTGGTTTTGGGGAGGGATGATGGACAATGTGTGTCCAAACTGATCAAGACATTCACCTGGATGCCTGGAAATGTGCCTTGTTACTGTGCCAACCAGCTCCCTCCCTGCTGTTGCCAAGCTCCGTGAACCGTATTTTTGACCAAACTCGCTGTGACCGTTGAATTATGTTGTGTTTTTTTTTACCAAATAGCACTTGCGCTGTTAATATGCAAAGAGCTTGTGGTGACCCCTTGTTCCCTCACAGCCCGGCCCAGCCCGGCACTGCGGAGAGGTTCCAGGAGAAACACACCACAATAGAGCTTTTTTTACACCTCTTTTTGTGATAAAAAAGTTTTAATTCAAAAAACGTTAATTATGAAAATTGATCTGTATAATTTTTTTACTTGCATTTAACAATAATAAAGCATATTATCTATGTAACCGTCTCCTGTTTCATCCAAACATCCTTAGAACATGGATGGTGTCCTGACCAGCGCTCACACTGAGAGCTCTCTGCTAACGCCCTCCTCTGGTAACCATGTCCTCTGCTCCACTGCTTATTCCGCGTTCATCGGCAGCCGGGCCTTAAGACAAGATGTTCCCGCGTACTGGAAATCTCTTCCAAAATGCCTCCTCCTTGCTCTTTCAAGTGGAGAACAGTTTGGACACTGGCCTTATATACCAAGAGCTTGACCTGCATCAAGACTTTGTTGTCCTTGAAGACAGACGAGCATGACCATTCTCAGCAGTTGTTCATCTCCAAGCCCTACTGGAGCTCCCGGGTACCAATAAGAATCAACAATTGGGACTGATGCCCCTTGTATCGTGCACCTAGTAAGGGTTCAATATCCAGTATCAAATGATCTATTGGTGACTATTCTCTTGGGTGGCGTGAGGGGGTGGGGGGAGTTAGGAGGGGTGGTAAATGGGGTCTCCTTGGAGCTGAACAGAGAAGCTGGGGTTAATAAAAATCAGACTTAAAAACAGAGGTAGCAGAGACCCAACAGACACAGGAACGACAATCAGACACAGCAATGGGCCAATCAGCCTCCTACACTGAAAATTTGTGTCTCATTCTTCCAGAACGTCGCCCCTGTCCTCTCATCACAGCATTGAGCTGTTCCTTTAATGATTCATGTTCTCAATCTACCATTCCTGGCCACACTGTTCCAGTTGCCATTCAGCCTTTGCATAAGGAAATATTTCCTTCCTGAAGTTATCCTTCACACCGTGACCCTTCTACCTCAGTGTATCTGAAAGTGTTGGTCAGAGTTTATTTTGTCCATTTTATTTAGCACATTACATATCCCTGTAAGATGTTACCTTGCATGATACCTTTTTCCAATCTGAATAGCTCGTCTTAAAATACAAATTTATATTTACGTAGCTCTTGCAGGTCAGGACGTCCCAAAGCACATAATACTGGCTGGGGACCCGAGCTTGTCTAATCGTTACTAAAGAATAGCTCATTCCGCTAACACTGGCCCCCCTCTCTGGTCTGGGAAGCCACCTTATTTGCAGTGGCCAGACCTGTATGCAGTTCTCTCTATGTACGGGCTGACTAGAGCACTGTTCAGTCTGGGGATCTGAACCGATTAGGTAAATATAGCCCAGAAGTGCAACACACAAACAGGACTTGCAAGGAAGGGCTGAGCACAGATCATTTACAAAATAAACCACAGTTTATAACAAGGATTTTATTGTTTGTACAGTCCCCCTCGGTCACTTTGCTTTAGTAAACATCTGGTTGCTGCTCGATGCTTCCTGAAGAACAGCCGCCAGGGCTGTGAGAACCGACCAGACCCCAGGTGGCTCCACAGACAGCATCAGCCTCAGCTGGGGGTCTGAGCCGATAGTGTCTGTGCCAGGGGTCTGAGCGGATAGTGTCTGCAGGCCTGGTCCCTAGTGTCCCTGAGGAGGAAAAATAGAAAACTTCAGAAAAAGCTAGAAACAACCTGCTTTTTTTAATATAGAGCCTCATCACGCCACAATGTCTCAAAGTGGTCATTTATGTCATGCGTAGTGACTGTTGGCAAATGTAGCAGCCATGTGCACCAGTAACAGCCTCGAGGTGAATTAATTATCTGGTCACCAACCAGGAAAAACTCCCTTCTCTTTCCCAATTACGTGGTGGGATCTTCAACATTCAAGTTAATTAGGACAGTGTGAAAATGACTGCTTCAGAAATAGATAAACCATAGATGTGTGACATGCCAATCATATCTTGTCTACTGTCGGATGTTGATTCATAACCTCCTCCCCGGCCCCACGATCTCCATAAAGAAGTCTTACCTCTCCACACACCCCAACTGCTGTCATACGTAGATGCCCACCCATAGGAGAAGGAAAAGGACTCCGAAACCCATGAACAGAGAGGCGACCAGTGAAATCAGGAGCTCCTTGTAGATATCCCGTGTGTACTTGGTGGAGGTCACTTCATATCTGGTGGAGCAGTTAAAGAAAACATTCCCTCTACATCCTTAAACCAGCAGCTCCTCCTTTCCGAGAGTTCCGAGAGCACTGTGCTCCCGATTTCGACGGATGGCGAGCTCCCAGATTTTTGTCTCTAATTTTCTCCCCACTGGTAAATGTGTCTGCTCCTATCCTGCCTCCTCTCCCTGCGGCGCTGTTGCCTTCCCAAGTTTGAAGGTGATCTTAGTGAGGTGTTCTAAAATGATTAAATAATGAAGGGATTCAATAGGGTAACTACAGAGAAACTATTTCCTTCGATGGAGGATAAGGGGGCATCATCTTAAAATTAGAGCCAGGCAATTTAGGAGTGAAATCAGAAAGCATTTTTCACCCAAAGGGGAGTGGAAATCTGGAACTTACTCCTCCCAAAAGGCTGTGGATGCTGGATATACTCACATTTTCAAGACTGAGGTGGACAGATTTTTCTTAGGTCAGGGTAATCATGGATATGGAGCAGACATGGGTAAATAGAGTTGAGGTTCAGAACAGTCATGATCTAATAGAATGGTGGAACAGGCTTGAGAGGCTGAATGACCTCCTCCTGTTCTTTACCTTGGGAAGGCTGGGGCTAATTCAGTTGCTCCTGAAGTCCCAGCTGAGATCAGCAAACTCAGCCCTGACCAGGATACAATCCTGCGAGCCTCTGGTGTATGAACGGCTGTCAACCACCCCCAGCGGGGCTACCCAGCTCAAGGTTTTGATCCAGAGACAATGAAGCACTGAATGCAGATCAGAGGCAATATGCCACAACACTGAGCCAATGTCAATGACCTGAGTTACAGATCTCAGAGCTTTTTATAGTACAATCCTGTCACACAGTGGAGTTGCTGGTCACAGCAGGAGCTGTTGGTCACAGCAGCACAGTAATACAGGGGTTAGATGCAGATTAAAGCCTCTCTGCTCTGACCTAATACTGAATTGATTTGGCAGCCTTGTGGCACTGAGCTTGCAGAGTAAATCAGTGGAGCCGGTAAGTCACACTGGAGCCTCCCCCCACACCCGAGGAACAACAGGTTTTAGGAGCTGTGAGTTCAGCCCCCGCAGCAGCTAAACTCAGTGGGATCACACTGGCCTCCATGCTCCCCTGTCCTCCCAATGCTCGGCTGAAAGCACCCAAGAACCCTGGAATTCAACCCACTGGAAACTGTGTAGACAGGACAGATGCCAGGCCTGAGCAGCCGAACCCCCAACACGTCAAGCATGATACAGGAACAGGATACACAAAGAACCAGGCCGTGAAGAACATCCCGATGGCAAGCAGAACCACCGTCAGATGTGGGAAGACGGCGGGATTGACGGGGCTGGTGTATCTGGTCATAGCCTCGAGCTCCTAGAGAGGCACAGAATGGGCACAATTAACACATCAAAGAGCAGACAAGAGTCCTCAGCGCTCAGGCCTTCATTCTGTCTCTGTATACCCTCTATGCCCTCGCTTTGCCTGTTTCACCCACAAAATACACAATCAATCCACTTCACAATATGTCCTGTGAAGCCCTTTGAGATGTCTCAACAACTCTATCAACTGCAAGGATTATCTATTTATTTTATTCCGTAAGCCTAACTCAGGTGGGTGGCAGTATTCTTGTCTCGAGTCAGAAGGTTATGGGTTCAAGCCCCATGTTAGGACATTGAACGCACAGTCTAGGTTGACGCTCCAATACAGTGTTGGGGGTGCACTGTTTTGTTGGAGATGGTGCACTTTTGATCACCTTTCCCCCCTCCACCGATTCCTTGCTAGGGGAAGAACTTAGTGAATATAAATGATTGTTGTTCAGGTGTTGCCAGTGCAGGTTCTCTCCGCACAGTGTATTTCTGGTGTTGGGAGTGTTAAAAAGCACTTCAAGTGAACAGGCAGGTGAGACCTGGTTTAATGTTTCATCCGAGGCACGGCACCTTCGACAATGCAGTCCTAACCCCACAGGTGCACTAGTGTCAGCCTAGACAGCGAGTTCAAAGTCCCAATGTGGCATTTGAACCCACACCTTCTGACTCAATATTTGTGGTCAGCCAGGCGTCCGACTGATATAAACACGCATCACTGTGCTTAAGAGTATCCAAACCAGATACGAACGGTAGTCCCACGTATACAAATCGCCCAGTGTCTGTAATGCCCACTCTCCCCGGAGGGACGCATCCTGCTTACCTAATCCCAGAAAGTTTTAGGCGCAGGTTAGCAAGAGCCGGGGCTTGAGGACCCCAGCGTGTGCGTTGGGGTAACTGCGTAGCTTGTCTGGTAAGCTGTCCCGCTGCCAGTCCCAGCTTGGGGGGGTAACAGGAGCTGAGTGGGATGACGTACTGTTCCCCCAGTGACTGGGTCTGCCCTTCCAGGTCCTGCCGACGAGCCGGGCCGTGCTGCCCTGTGATCAGCAGCGAGTGCCCTGGAGTACCCGCGGACCCGCCTGGCTCAGGACCCACCCGGAGATGGAGACCCTCACGGAGGGGGGGGGCGGCTCGATCCCGACATCCCGTCCCCCAAAGCCCGAGTAACGACGACGACCACCGCGACGACAGCCCCTTTGCATTTGAAACGGCGCCTTCCCCGACGTGTCAGAAGAAAAGCGCTTCAGCGAATACGCTGCGAAGTGTAGTGACTGTACCTTTGGTGGGCGGAACGGGGCAGCCAATTAATTGCGGGGAGTGACCAATTTATTATTATTATTATTATTGATGATGATAATATTTCCAAAGGGATTATTAACCCCCAGAGAGTGATCAGACGATGGAGTGATGACCGAGTAAACACGGGCTGGTGTGTGGGGTCAGGAAACTTACCCCGAGTCCCACCCCCGCCCGGGAACCAGACCCCTGGGAGACCCCCCCGGGCCCCCCACCCCCGGGCCCCCTCCCCAGGCCCCGGGCCTCCCCCCCGGCCCCCCACCCCGGGCCCCTCCCCAGGCCTCCCCCCCGGCCCTCCCCCCCGGGCCCCCTCCCCAGGCCCCCTCCCCAGGCCCCCTCCCCCCCCGGCCCCGGGCCTCCCCCCCCCGGGCCCCCTCCCAGGCCCCGGGCCCCCTCCCCAGGCCCCGGGCCCCCTCCCCAGGCCCCGGCCCCCCCCCCTCACCATGTTCCGCTGTGTCTCCGTCTCCGCGTCTCTCGCTGTGAAGTTCTCTTCTCCGCGACACGTCGCCCAACCGGAAACCGCGCTGCACTCTGGGTAACCGCTGTTGGCCGCCGCCGGAGTGCGACTCGGAGCGACACCGCCCCCCGGCGGCCCCTGAGCAGCACTGCACACACACAGCGCTGCACACACAGTGCACTGCACACACACACAGCACTGCACACAGTGCACACACACAGCACTGCACACACACACACACAGCACAGTGCACACACACAGCACTGCACACACACACAGTGCACACACACAGCACTGCACACACACAATGCAAACCCATCCACAGTGCAAACCCACACACAGCGCAAACACACAGCGCACACAAACACAGTGTAAACACACCCATAGTGCAAACCCAGAGAGCACTGCAGCAATTACACTTGAGCACACACACCACTGTGCACAAATCACGTTTATAAAGTCAAATACAAAAGCAAATACAACACCAGAGCCTTATCAACCGCACTCAAACCGCTAACTAAAATTGAAAGTAGAAATCACATACAGGGCTCTCCAACACAGACCTCAAGCAATCCCGAGATCTTTATTGTTAATGTAATCAAGTGAAACACTTCCATTGTTTAATTCATTTACGAGAGACATACATACAGGCCTCGCCTCAGTACAATCAGTGTTCAGGGTAAATCAATGGTAAATTGCTAATGACAGGGAGATGAAGAGCTTCACAAACACCAGGTTATTACCCAGGGGGCTCCTAAATCTCCATCATTAGCAGCACAAGGACATTAGTTGGCACACAGAGCTCACACAGCAGCAGCAAAATAACCTCCCCCCCCCCACCTTTCACCTCCCCTTCCCCTATTTATTGCCCCCACCCCCCAATAATGTTCCCATCAAGATTGCCAAAGAAGTTCCGGGAATAACTTTCCAAAGGAATCCAACTGTGACAAAGCACATCATCTCCAGGATGTCAGAGCGGCTAAACCGACTTCTGATTTTTTTTGTGGAAAGAATGGGGTCAGCGAGGCTGCTCCTAGATTGTACAAGGTGAACGTCCACCTGGTTCCGGAATACAGTACAGCCAACAGTTTACATCTGTTCCGAAATGCACAAGAAGCCATAGAGCATATGAAAAGGGGTCAGAAACCCTGGGCCATCCTCTGCAGGTTAGTAATGCTGAGAACATTTGTGGTTCCAAAGGACTGAAAGACCAATAAGAACCCTACAGTCGCTTTCAATGGGTTACCAAATTCAACTGACTAGTAGCTGGTTCTCTAGTGACTGTGGAACACCGAATCAAGACTGAATTTAAGAACTTCACAGTTTTTGGGTGATCATTACAAGCTAAAACAAAATGGTTCACAGGCGAAGATTAGGTCCATTTTCAGATTTTTTAAAGGGTACTTTGAAGTTCCACACGTGAGACTTTTACGAAGGTTAAATCTCATGGAATTAATGGTGTGTTGGCTGGTTAAATTGGAAATGGTTTAACAATAGGAATAGCTGTCATGGAGGGGTTAGAGATTCATAGAGTCAGGGCCCCTCTCTGTTCTAAGACCCCGCTCTTCTCACGATTCTTTAATGATCAGACTTCCAGGCAATGTGGAGCTGCTTAAGCAAAGTGGCTGATCCGTACCTCAACTCTTTCCAGACGTGATCCTAATCCTAACAATGGAGCGAGCCAGAGATGATGTGGGTGTAAAGTTCGTGACATAGACTGTGAGAACAGACTTGGGTTTAAAATAATAAGATTCAAATCAGACTAGAAGTTAGAAATGTTTCCACTGAATAGTGGATATTTTGGGCAGACATCCAGCAGTATGCAGTGCATAGTGTGTCAACTCCAAAAGACTTGTTCTTGTCACAGCAGGAAAGGTCCCACTTGGCATTGCAAACTGAGCACGCACAGAAACGCAAAATCCCCCCAGGACCCCCAGCATCCCCTTCCCCACCAACCCATTCCCTAAGGGAGCTGAGACTCAATATAATGGCCACAGACTCAAAACACTCCTCCTTGCGAGCCCATAGCGACCATTCGGACACCATTCACCTGTCATCACCTCCATGTAACACCTCCCCTCTCGGGATTTTCCCACTTTTTTCTTTAAACTCCACGGCACATAATAAAGCACCTCGCTCGATGGAGACTTGTGGTCACAATGCATGTAGTTACAGTACGAGCGAGCTGCAGATTATTCGAGCTTGGCTTTGCACACTGAGTAAGCACGAATTGTGCGGCTTTGGAAATAGATACAAATGTTAAGATGCCAGAACAGCAATTTGAAATGATTCGCACTTTCATTAAAACCTCGTTTGAATGAAAGAGCGACGGCGACATGAACAGGTGATTTGCTCCAGCCCCTCCCCACCATGCTCTCACCTCCCCACCATGCTTTCACCTCGCCTGGGAAAACAAACACAGCACATTACATTTTCTCACTGGCAGCTAGCAAGGAAAGCAGGGCCAGATGATGAGCTGGTAGTTGAGCCTGGGCACCCCTAAGACCTTGGTACAACAACAACAAATTGCATTTGTATAGCGCCTTTCACGTCAGGAGGATGTCCCACGGCCCTGGACAGTCAGGGATCCGCACCTGAGCTGGTGGTTGGGATCAGGAGGGGTTGGAGGTGGGGGAGAGGGTAGGGACAGGAGGTTGACCAAAGGCGCAGTTGAAGAGGAGGGTTTTGAGACGGGTCTTGAAGGAGCATAAATGGACCCGGTTTAGTTGTGACTGTCCCACCCCACCCCCCCCCACCCCCACCCTCGCTGGCACCAGGGAACATTCTCTTCCATATAACCAGGGCTGCAGTCTGGCTGGAGCTCAGCCTAGGGCGGTAGTTAGCCCCAATGGTTCCCAAGCTCCCACTGCGGTGATGGTTACATTGATCCTGTAACGGGGATCTGAGCCCAGGCCAGGGGGAGAGGTTCCGGAAGCTTTTTTTGCAAGGCAGAGGCGACGGTTAGCAGCTCCTGCACTGATCACTTGTGCAGGTAAGCGTCCAGCCACAGCTCCCCCGACTCCTTCAGCGAGCTGCAAGAGAGGGGGTGGAGAAATCAGCCTGGCACAGCCCCCAACCCCAGCTCCCAGCTCCAGCCCAGTTCCCAACCCCCTCCCAGGCCCCCTCCCCAGCCCAGGGGACATTAAACCAAAGCCCTGTTCAGGTGGACCCTGAAAGATCCTATGGAAAAGTGAAGGGAGTATCTCTCTCCTGGTGTCCTGGCCAGCAATCCCCAAATAAAATTGGGTCTCTCACCCCATGGCTGTTTGTGGGAGATTTGCTCAAACTGGCTGCTGTATTTGCCCACAAAATCACTACACTTTGGTGAAGCGCTTTGAGACGTCTTCCTGACATGAGAGGCTGTATCTTTGGGTGCTGGGGGAGTGTGTTTGTGTGTAGCGGGTGGGGTGGGGGTTACTTACTGCACTATGTCTGCGAAGGCCATCAGGAGGGGCTTGGACTGATAGTCCAGCCCGTGCTTGGCACACAGTGACCGCACCAGAGGCGCCACCTTGTGGAAATTGTGTCTCGGCATCGTGGGGAAGAGGCTGCAAAAGACACAGGAGCTTGTGATGTACAGAGGCCCAGCAGACTGGACATAACAGGGCACCCCTTCCCCCCCACACCTTGACCACCATCCCCTCCTTCCCCATATATACCATTCCCCCCCTCCACCCACCGTGTACACCAACCTCCTCCCCCCATATAAACTATTGCCCCACCTCCTCCCCCCCACCCCCTCCACCAGTTAGACTGTACGTCCTCGGGGGAGAGGGGGAGAGAGAGGGAGGGGATGAGCACTGTACTTACTGGTGTTCTATCTGGAAGTTGAGATGACCTGTGAACCAGTCGTTGAACAGGGACTGATGTACATTGCAGGTAGCGTGTAACTGGAGGCAAAGACAAAACAGCGCAACACCATTAACTCCAACGACGCCAAATAGAAAAATCCTGCATTCCAGTAACTGACTGCCCCACCAATGCACTGGGTACAATCCATCTCCCTACCCCCAACCCCCCCACACACCTATACTGGCGTCTCTTACCTGCATGGTCAGCCAATCTTCCTTCTGATCGTGGTCAATGTTCATCGGAATGTGGTTCATTTGTGTCACCCACACAAACCAGTTACTCTCTATAAACCTGAGACAGACAGGGAGAGAGTGAGCCCATTACACACACAGACAACACACGCATACATACCGACAAAACACGCCCACACACAGACAACACGCACCCATACACAGACAAAACACACAGAGACAAAACACACCCACACACAGACAACACGCACATACCTACTGACAAAACGCACCCACACACAGACAAAACACACATACCTACTGACAAAACACACCCACACACAGACAACACGCACATACCTACTGACAAAACACACCCACACACAGACAAAACACACAGAAACACACACACACACGGGCAACACACAAGCCCTCACTGACCATTTCACAGGCACAAAGTGACAACAGCAACATGAGAGAGCTTCTCACTAAAATACACCTCCAGTACAGTAACCACACCAACCCCCCCCCCGCCCACCAAGACTGCTTGCCTGTATATCTGTCTGCTGCTTCCTGTCTGCCCACCTGCCTGTATGCTTGTCTGCTTATCTCTCTGTCTGACAATGCAGTGCTCCCCCCAATGCTGCCCTGTGTCAGACCAGACTGGGACCTGAAGTCCTGACATTGGAGCTGAGTATCCAGACAGCCTCGCTGACAGGCGTGAAAGCTGTCCTGACACAACCCACCTCACCGTTCAACGTTTACAGATCATTTGCGGACCTGGGCTGTGATTCTCGGCGGTGGGGGTGGCGGAGCAGGGGTGGGGGGGGGGGAGAAGGCTGTACCTTATGAGGAAGAACATCACCAGGAAGCTTTGGATCCCGAGCAGCGGGATGTAGGTCAGGCTGACACGGATATAGAATGAGATCATCCAGGCCAGGTCCTGCAGGGAGCAACACAGTGACCCCACATTACACCCCGCGCTCCGGGATAACCCGCCGCCCCCCCCCACCAACTCAATGCACCCCGAGAATCCCCCGCCCGCCCCCCCCCCACCCCGAGATCCTCCTGTGCTCCCCCCGCCACCCGAGACAGCCACCCCCAAGACAGACTCTCCCCCCCCCTCCCCGGGACAGACACCTCCCCCAACCCAAGACAGACCCCCACTCTGGGACAGACACCCCACCCCCTCACACCACTGAGGCAGACATTCCCCAGCAAAATCACCGGTCATGACAACCCCCCCCACCCCATCCCACCCCCCGGGACTCCTGTGAGATACTCACCGCCCACTTTTTGCGCTGCACAGCGAAGTAAAAGATATACCACTGAAAATACAGGGGCAGCAAAGCTGGCGGCCCGACTGCAAGAGAGAGGACAGACCGGTCATTGCTGAGCTCAGCGTCTGCGTGGGGTGGGGGGGGGGCTGCTGTGTGTGTGTGGGTCATCGTGTGTGTGGGTTGTTGTGTGTAAGGGGCGCTGTGCGTGTGCCGGGCGAGGTGTGTGTTGGGGGGGGTGCAGCTGTGTGTGTGTGTGCTGTGAGTGTGAGTGTGTGTGAGTGTGTACCAGCCAGGCGCTGTGTGTGTGTGTGCGCTGGGTGCTGTGTGTGTGTGCGCTCGGTGCTGTGTGTGTGTGTGTGTGTGTGTGTGTGTGTGCTGGATGCTGTGTGTATGTGTCGGATGCTGTGTGTGTGTGCGCCGGGGGCTGTGTGTATGTGTCGGATGCTCTGTGTGTGCGTGCCGGGGGCTGTGTGTATGTGTCGGATGCTGTGTGTGTGTGTGTGTGTGTGTGCGCCGGGGGCTGTGTGTATGTGTCGGATGCTGTGTGTGTGTGTGCGTGCCGGGGGCTGTGTGTATGTGTCGGATGCTGTGTGTGTGTGTGTGTGCGCCGGGGGCTGTGTGTATGTGTCGGATGCTGTGTGTGTGTGTGTGTGCGCTGGGTGCTGTGTGTATGTGTCGGATGCTGTGTGTGTGTGTGTGTGCGCCGGGGGCTGTGTGTATGTGTCGGATGCTGTGTGTGTGTGTGTGTGTGCGCCGGGGGCTGTGTGTATGTGTCGGATGCTGTGTGTGTCTGCGCCGGGGGCTGTGCCAGGCTGGGGCTGAACTCACTGAGGAAGAAGTATCGGTGCTGGTGCTGGTACGGCATGTGCCTCATCTTCTGCTTTCCCACCTGTCACACAGGGCGAGGACAACAGTGTCACATCCCCATACTGGACTCTTTCCCCCTCCCCGCCCCGTCCCCCACCCATTCAGGCCCCAGTGTCCAGGGCCGCTCTCCTATGCCCGGACCACTCCCCTTGTGCCCGGGGTCCTCCCCTCTTATTGCCCCCCCCACCACTCCGGAACCCAACTCCGCTGCCAGACCTCTCCCACTGCAACCTATCCCCCCCACTCCCCTCCCACCCCTGGGTCAGGCCCTACACCCTGTGATTGCCAGGTTGGGGGAGCTACACTTGCCTCAACGGAGAGCTTCTTGCCCAGGACGAAGAGGAGGGGGTGCATGTTGATGTCGGGGTCCTTGTGGTAGCAGTTGGGTTTGGCGTGGTGCTGGAAATGCATGTGGTTCCACCAGCTGGCAGGGGCCCCCTGCCCCGGAGAGGGAGAACGTGGAACAGAAGAGAGTGGGGGGGGTGGCGGGGGGAGAGAGAGAGAGAGAGTGAGAATGACAGAGTGAATACTTTCCCTGAGTTTTCACGAAGGAAACTGATAAAGAAAATTTATTAAGAAAGGTCAGGGTCTAAAATTGCAACAGTTAAGCTCGGGAGAAGGGAGATACTAGATAAATTACACAAGCATAAAGGAACAAGGCACTTGGCCCAGAAAGATGGTCCCTAAAGATCCCTAGGGAAACTAGAAGAGATAGCTGAGGCTCCGATTACCAGCCTAGACTTAGTAACTTCAGTTGTGGGCAAGGTATTAGATTCTATAATACGGGCACGGACTGATTGGGCCGAGTGGCCTGTTTCTGCGCTGTAGAATCTTTGTGTGTCATTTTGTATGAGAGAGTGAGAGCGACAGAGGGAGAAAGAGAGAGTGAGTGAGTGAACAGACAGAGAGAAGCAGTCAGGGAGACTGTGCTCACCTTCAGGTGGCCAATGACAAACTGGTGGACAAGGTGGTTCCACTTTGATTTACTGAAGACAGAGAGGTGCCCGAAATCGTGCTGCAACCAGCCAGCCTGAGCCTGTATAATACACACCACGTTATATCACATGCCACACACACACACAAACAGCATTATATTACATGCCACACAGACATGTGCAGAATATTCGATCACGTCTAACACACAAAGCTCTAGAGGTTGACTGCACAAGCTGGATATCTGTGAGCAGGGAACAGAGAACCTGAGGCCATGTGCTGCAGTGGGGCATTAGTGACAGAGCGAAAGCCTCTTTCGCACACTGTAGAAGCTGTCTCTGGCAGTCAGAACGCAATCATAATCCTGACATTTGATACAGCGCCTACAATGTCAACACATATGAAAGTGTTCACTGGGGAATTAATAATGATAGCAATTCTTGCATTTGATATAGCGCCTTATCACGCCATTGAGATGTTTCAAAGCGCTTTACGTGATATATTCTAAACTGGATTGACTGAACATTTTTTTTTGAAGGATTATTATTACCCCCAGAAAGTGATCTGCCAATCAACTAACAACCAGGTTCCTACTTACTGCAAGGTAAATAGTGGCGTGTGGAGTAAGGAAACTTCTAAAGGATAGAGGGATTAAGGTATATGGGGATAGGGCGGGTAAATGGAATCAGGTTGGAAGATCAGTGATGATCTTATTAAATGGCGGGGCAGGCTCGAGGGGCCAAATGGCATACTCCTGCTCCTACGTCTTATGGTCTTATGGAAACCTGTCTAAGGTTTCTCCCTGCCGGGTCCTCTCGCTTGCAAGGCGAGTGCTCTAACCACTACCCTACAGGATCCCACAAACAGTATGGTGCCTGAATTGCCTCACACCTACCTGCACGGTGCCCAGCAACAATGTGCTGATCAGGAAGGGTAAATAGGAGGTACCGAAGTACCAGAGGGTGATCCAGGCTGTCACGTCTAACAGCAGGATGTGCGCTAGCATTCCTGCGAAGAACAGCTTGTTGGGGCTGAGGAGGTCAGAGCTCTCCACCACGGCACGCAGCTCCCGGAAATCTCCCGTCACTGAGGCCTGAGAGGTAAACCACCGTTAGGGCAAAGATCAGAGCTTCCCTTTCACATTCAGCCCCCTCACACTGTCACTCACTCCTCCCGGCCAGCACTGGGATAGTCACTTACTATCTCTACTAGACCAGTGGTGACCAACCCATGGCCCACTGAACATTCGCACCGAACTAGTCTCGGTAAGTCTGTGTTAATCAATGGTTTCCAGTAGCTACTGAGTAGTGATCATAAAATGGTGTGGTCATAAAATCAAGAAATATTCAATCAAGAAAAATGTATTTGGTTGGCCGTCAAAAAGATTGGCCACCACTAGCTGGGCTCACAGACCCTAGACCCCATGGTGTCTGTTCACGACAGTCATGGAATGTGTGCGTAGGGAGGAAAAGGCAGGGGAGTGAGAGTGCATGGATTGCTCTCACGTGCTGGCACAGCTATAATGGACTGCTCTCCCTGTCTCATGGATTGCTCTCCCTGAGCTATACATTCTCAGATTGTAACATGTCTCTTGGTGTATCACAAGCCCCTGGTCCTAAGCTCTCTCTCTATCGTTCCCAGTGAGTGATGGGCAGAGAAAAGGCTGGATTGGGTACTCACACTTTTCCATCGCTCCACGCTGGGCTCGGCTGGGGCCAGCTCACCAATCAGCAGGGAGCCCAGGTACTTGCTCACCAGGCTCTGGTTAATGTGGAACGCCGTGAACGGGTCCTAAAGGAAGAAGCAACAAAGCAACACTTACACAGCGTCTGCCTGTCCCAGAAACATACATTCCAATGAACACTGGGTTTCTAACCCTGGAGTCAGTTTCAGCACCGATGGAAGCCATTCTGCCCAACCCGCCAATGCCCCAACTCTGTATTGTCAGCTTTAATACACGCAAAATAGAAACTCTCGAAGCGCTTAGAATCATAGAATCCTCGGCCACAGCAGAAAAGCGCCATTCGACCCATTGTGCTTGTGCCGGCTCTTTGAAAGAACTACCCATCGATCCCACTCCCCTGCTCTTTCCTCATAGCGCTGCAAACTTTTTCTGTTCAACTAAATATCCTACTCCCTTTTGGAAGTTATTGAATCTGTTTCCACCACCTTTCATACAGTGCATTCCAGATCGTAACAACTCGCTGCGTAAAACAATGTCTCCTTGTCTCCATTCTGTTTTTTTTGCTTCACAGGAGACTAATTAGATATAATTAGCCATGGAGCGAGTGACCAATTTTATTTGGGGGATTGTTGGCCAGGACACTGGGAGAGAGAAACTCCCTTCATTATTCGAATAGTGCCTTGGGATCGTTGACATCCACCTGAACAGGCAGGTGGAACCTCAATTTAACATCTCATCTGAAGGACATCACCTCCAACAATGCAGAAGCGCTCCCCTGTCTGGTATAAAGCACGCACGCTCTCTCCCTGGAGGAAAACCCCCTTCTCACCTATTCCCGGAAAGTATTAGGCACAAGTTGGCGAGAGTCTAGGCTTGGGCTAACCCCAGTGTGTGCACTGGGGTATGAACAACTTAATCTAATCCCATCTCCTGCTTTAATTAATCTCCAAACCGTGTAATATTCCTCTTTTTCAATTCCTCTCTTTCCTTTGGGAAAGAATTGCACATTCCAACCTCCCCTCCCACCTCTCTCGCAGCTTCTAGAGTTAGTCAGTCCCACACAGGTGGTCGATGTGTACGTGTTTACTGCAATTGAAAAGCTAACATGGCCTGTAGCCAGACTTCTCCTATCATTGGTCCTACTGAAAATTACAGCCAAAATTGACTCTTCATTTACATACTGGCTGAAGGATTGGCTGTGTAGAGCCTATGACATAATTCTGGGCTCAGTCTACTGTCAGTGAAATGATCAGGAGAGTGTGGTGTGACTGGGACCAACCAACGGCAGCAAACAGGGAAAGGCAAGGAATGAGCCAGCGACCTGCCAGCACACGTGTGCTGAGACACATCCACTCACATACACACAGACACATATATGTGTGCACTCATATGGTAAAGAGTTGCGCATTCCAACCTCCACTCCCTCATTCATTCACTCACACGCACACACATGCATGCACACCGAAAAATAGACACGTGCGCAACATACGCAACTCGCACATCCTCACAGATACACACATGTACAGTAGTCACACACACGCATGCAGTAAACACAGAAACACATATAGGTGTACATGTATGTGGTCTGCTATAGCAGACCGTGACAGAGGCACACAGCGGACACTCAAGAGAAAAAGTATAAACCAGGGAGGAGAGAGACACACTATGCACATCACAGTGTGGTGATAGAAAACACTGAAAAGGAAATTTCTAAAAAGTACAACGAACATTCAGTTTGAAAATTGCAGAACCACATTTTGAAATGTAACTGACTGAGCGACCAGTATACAGGGAACTGGTGGAGAGCACCGCATCTCTGACTGGGTTTAGGATTGGTTTCTCTTGTGTGGGGAAGTGAGGGAGAATGGGGCTTCCTCTTGGTAGGGGTTAGAGTCGACATAAGATAATATAACTCCCCTCCCCCACCCCCAGGGACATACAGAAAGTCACACACAAAGAAAAGAGTGAAAAACACACACACAAAACATGTAAATAAAGAGACACACACAGGAACCAGCAGTTTCTCCAGACACCCAATGGTACTAGAGTTGCATTCTACATCCCCCGGATAAAAATGGTTGCCCACTTTATGGCTGTTTGTGGGCTATTGCTGTGCGTAAATTAGCTGCCATTATTACCCACAAAATACTCTTGGTAACAAATCTTGCGAAGCATTTTGAGATGTCCTCCCGACGTGAAAGACTCTGCATCAAATGTAAGGCTTATTATTATCAAAGTTATCAATGGCTAATTGTTAATCTCTGTGTTTAACAATTTCTCTGATGGTCAGTCTGTCATTATCAATGATGTGGGATTTAAACCAACAACCTCTGACCCAGAGATGAGAGACATAATCTATAAATATTGATCGGCAACGTTAGTCCTGATTGTCCTACGTTACTGATCACTAATTTTGCAAGCTCTAAGTTTCTCTCATTGTAAATCTGCGACTTTTGAATGATTATTGATCGGTAATCTATTAGATTATTGGTCTCTCCAATTATTGATTTTTCACTTCTTTGATTATCTGTTTAGACTATCGATTACTAATATATCTGACTGATCGTTGATTGGGAATATTGTCTTCACGCACCCAGATTATTGATCAGGCATACAATTTCTGATAATAAACGTAATAATCCTTGTATTTCGTACACTGCCTTATCACCTCAGAAGGACATCTCACAGTGCTCCACAGAATTGAATGTGAAATGGATTTTCTGCGTACTTTGAGGCAAACGCGGCAGGAAAATTCAACACCAGCGTCCCACAAACAACCGTGAAACGAATGACCGATTTTATTTGGGCGATTGTCGACCAGGACGCGGGGAGAGAGAAACCCCCTTCCCTTTTCGAATAGCGCCATGGGATCGTTACCGCCAACCTGAACAGGCAAACGGGACCTAAAGTTTAACGTCTCATCCAAAGGTACGGCATCTCCGATAATGCAGAGTTGCACTGTAAAGTATATAAAAACGTGGAATTATGTTCGAATAACATTATGTTTTAATCATTTCTATTGATTTGATCGAAATCTTTTTTTATAATCCCAACACAATAAAGACAGCAGAGATTAGTAAACAGCTGAGTCTGAGGACCTGTTTGACTGTGAAGAGCTGGACCGACATCGATCAGTGATCAGCAATGCCATCTGCTTCACTGATCCTTGATATCGACGCGAGTATCGATCCCTGATCAGAATGTGACCATCTATCATCCTTCCTGGGATGGAAGGCTGAACCCAAACCTCGTGGATTTACTTATCGATTGAGGTGTACCGGTGGCCGAGGGTGTCATTAATCATCTCTGGCGGCAAAGTGATTATCGATCTCTTATCGATCCCCGACAAGAAGAACACGAGTAGTATCCATCTACGACACACATCTCCAGCAACCGGTGGGGCAGCGCCTCGGGAGCACTATCGATCCCTCTCTCTCTCCCTCTCTCTCTCTCTCTCTCTTACCGTGGCGTCCTGTCCGGCGTAGTGGCCGATCACCCGCGACCCTCCCGGGTGCCTGTGGCTGAACTGACTGATGTCGTACACCTTCCTGTGGATGACCAGCCAGCGGTCAGCGCGGCTGCTGTGCCTCTGCACCTCCTCCCAGGTCAGCAACCGGGGGCAGACGCCGCTCTCCGTGCCCGCGCCCATCACTGCCCGACGGTCCCGGCGCCGCTCCTCGCCTGTCCCCGGGGGCAGCGGCGGCGTCTGTCCCGGTGCGGCTCGGCCCAGCTGATGGATTAGGCTCCGCCCTCCGAAGGGGGGGGAGGGGCGGGCTCTCGAGACCCCGCGATCCCATTGGTCGCTCCTTTTATCAATGGGCTGCCGCCGCCATTGGCTGCTCCCCGCCTTCCATCACGACGCCTGCGCTCCGATTGGCTGCCGCGCCTGTCAATCGCAAACGGGGGCGGTCGCGCCCGTCTGTCAATCGAGCAGGCGGCACCCGGGCGCCGATTGGTCGGCGGCCCCGTCAATCACACTCACCTGTTCGGGGGGGGGGCGCGGCCTCCCATTGGTTGGGAGCAGACAGCAGATGTGTTGCTCGTGACTGTACTCCTGTGTGGGGGGGGGGGCGGGGTGGTGCTAAGTGGGGGGTTGTGGGGGGGGGGGGTGATGGTAAGTGGGGGGTGTGGGGGCGCGGGTGGTAAGTTGGGGGGCGTGGAGGGGACGGGGGTGGTGGTAAGTGGGGGGGTGGGGGGGGGGTAGTAATTGGGGGGGGGGGCGGGTGTGTGGTAAGTGGGGGGGTGGGTGGGGGCGGGTGTGGTGGTAAGTGGGGGTGGGACGGGGGTGGTGGTAAGTGGGGGGGGGGGGGGGGGGGGGGCGGGTGTGGTGGTAAGTGGGGGGGGCGGGGGTGGTGGTAAGTGGGGGGGGGGGGCGGGTGTGGTGGTAAGTGGGGGGGGGCGGGTGTGGTGGTAAGTGGGGGGGCGGGGTGGTGGTAAGTGGGGGGGGGGGTGGGGGCGGGGGTGGTAAGTGGGGGGGGGCGGGGGGGTGTGGTGGTAAGTGGGGGGGGGCGGGGGCGGGTGTGGTGGTAAGTGGGGGGGGCGGGTGTGGTGGTAAGTGGGGGGGGGGGGGGGGGGTGGTAAGTGGGGGGGGGCGGGGGGGGGTGGTGGTAAGTGGGGGGGGCGGGGGTGGTGGTAAGTGGGGGGGGCGGCGGGGGGTGTGGTAAGTGGGGGGGGGCGGGGGTGGTGGAAGTAGGGGGGGGGGGTGGTGGTAAGTGGGGGGGGGGGGGCGGGGGTGCTCCTTGGATCTGAACTCGCTCTGAGACGATATGTTTGGCCAAACCAACTCCTTGTGTTAACTTGTGGGAACCTGCCTTCCAAATTGGAACAATGGAATGATTTTCCACAATCCTGTCCCACCCTCAGTCCCTCGAGGCGTAGCTCTGGTTTAGCCGCGACTAACCCGACAGCTTCACAGGGTTATCCTTCGAACAGTCTCGTGCTCATTGCTCTCCTCCGCACTGGCCTCAAACCCGGGGCAATCACACCTATGTCAAGGTGACCAGAACTTGTTGTGCGGTTAAGAGCGTTTGGCAGTCCAGCCCTGTATCCTGTTTCTCTTGACGACGGCTTACCTCACGCTGTTTTTGCTGCACAAATCCTGCGGTGCTAAACAAAGTTGTTCATCTCAGTTTCTGCCCATTTGCAGGCAGCCGGTCGGCTTTTTCGTTTTACTGGTGCGCTCCTCTGCCGGAGGCGAATTGAGTTCAGTTCAGTTTGTGTCTAATCAGTTGGTTTATGGTGTCACGATGCCCATTTTATATTTAAAATTGAGGAATTCAAATAATACAGGCCCGGGACGCTTATTGAATGTCTGAGCATCCTGTGAATATCCTAAAAATAGCTTTGCTGGGCCGGCCCTGGTATTTGAGTGCACTCTGTGCTTTACACAAATCCTGTCCGCGTTACACAGCAATTAATCTGCCAGCAATTATTTACAACCCAGCTGATAATTATACTACATACTGAATAGGAGGTTGTTGGGTGTGTGCTGAACATGCCACATTAGCCAATAGCTTAGAGGTGTCCTCTTATGTGTAAGGTGCCATTAAAGTCCCCATTTTTTTGACTTCTGTGACCGCAGTTCCAATTATCCCTCCCCAAAACTCGGGTTCCTCCCTGATGGGTAATGAGTTTCGACATGTTTTCCTGACATGATCAGCGCTATATAAATATAAATTGTATTGTATGTTTCTCTTAGGGCAGTTTGTGACACTCTTGTAGCCCCATTTCAAACCTTCCTTTTCTATCAAAGGTCATGGAACAAGTCTCGCTTCCCGGCTTTGCTCTTTCCCCGCCCAGCGTTCGCTGCATGAACCCCTCCAATCTGGGTTTTGTGTTGCCCAAAGCACAGAGACAGCCCTGGTCAAAGTGACAAATGACATTCTGTCCACCTGTGACCAGGGCTCTCTCTGTCCCCTTGTCCTTCTCGACCTCTCGTCCACTTTCAAAACTGTTGACCACTCAATTCTTCTCCACCGCCTCTCCTCTCACCTCCACCTCAATGGTCCTGTTCTGGCCTGGTTCCAATCCTACCTTTCCCACCGTCTGCACTTTGTGGCCACCAATGGCTTCTTCCCTAGCCCCTGCACTGTCACATGTGTCATCCCTTAGAGCTCTGTCCTCGTTCCCCTCCTCTTCAATCTATGCATGCTCCCGCTCGGTGATATCATCGGCAGGATGGGGTCAATTTCCACATGTATGGGGATGGCACCCAACCCTATCTCACCTCCTCCACCCTTGACTCCAGGACCATTGATGTCCTGGCTAATAGTCTGTCTGACAGCAAGTCCTGGACGAGAGCCAACTTTCTCCTGCTTGGTGCATTGCCTCCTCACCTCAGCTGCTGACACTATCACCGTTCATGGCTGCACTCTTCACCTCACCAAGCCAATCCGAGACCTCAGTGTCCTTTTCGACCATCAGCTATCCTTCAAACCCCACATTCGTGTCATGACCCACAAAATGGAATTTCCGTACCAGCCTTCTGGTACAGTTCTGTTCATTAGCCTTAAACAGTTCTCAGTGTCTATCCTAAACTTGCTCTTTACACCTCCGATCTTGAATCCTCTTGCCCTGCTGCCCTGCATTACCCGATAGTATCGTTCAGGGTTTACTTTCTCCCTTCTGAGACGCCTCTTTTTCAAGACTGCAGAACCCTGATTCATCTAATTATTACTTGTAGCTCATCTCTCTCACATTGGGAATCAGCCTCATTGCCATCCTCTATCCCTGGGGCCTGGGCAGTGTCCAACATTGCATACAATCCTCCAAATGCACCACTTGAGTCTGATGTCTGTGTTCCTAAGAATTGACAAACTCTGCCTCAACTCCGCAGTGTGGCAGAGAGTTCCCCGTTCCCACCCCCAGGAGTTAAATGTATGTTACTCGGTAAGTCACTCCCTGCTGTAATCGTTAGACAAGCCTCAGCAATCGATAACTATGTTATGTGTTATGAAAAGTCTTGCACTGGGAGCGAGGTACTTTTCACCAACAGGTGGAACTGTTGTAAAGGAGCTGGAAGTGGGAGCTCAGTCTGCTAGGCTGGCTCAGGGCGGCCGCTGAACGCGCACACTGCAGCCATTTCACTGACACCAGGCGTCGGAGACGTGTCAGATGGCATCCAAGCTCATCCCAGCTTCAGACAAGAGGTTGAGTTAACTCTTTAGGGTTTGACAGTCTAGGAATGGGGGGGGGGGAGAGGAGGAGAGTGACTCTCATGTTTCTTGAATATTCTTGTTTAACCTGTGTGTTGAGTCAGCAGCGCGGGGAATTGGCGAACAGGAGGAGTGATTGAGCCCGACGGCGCGAGGGAAGTGGAGTCACATCAATTCATACATGGCCAGGTTTGAGCCAGATGGCTGCCACATGTGGAAACCCATCAAGAGCAGTTAAACCAGACAGAGTTCCGTGTCAGTTACACATACATGGAAACTTCCACGTCTGGAATGCAATGTGCATTCTCTCCCCCCACACCTAATTACAGAAAATATTAGGTGCAGTTTGGCAAGGCTTGGGGACCCCCGAGTGTGCATTGGGGTGACTGCTGGAGTCTAACCACTGTCCGGCACACTTCCCACTGTGAAGAGAAGTGAAGATTGCTTAGCACTTTATGAAGGAAGGTAACGTTCACCTCCTTTGTTTCCTCCACCATCCTCAGAGGGCAGCGCTCATACAGGCTCACTCCGCACCGTCTGTATGAGCAGAAAGGCTGCCAATTACGCAGGCTACAGACCCCCCCCCCCACCACCACCACCCACCACCACCCACACATGCACTCTCACAGCAACAATAGGTCTCGGGTATTCTCAGTTGCACTTTCTCATTCACCAAAAGACTTCAGTACAATTGAGAAAGAATAACCTGATAGGGAAATATTTTAATAGGAAGTGATCACGACACCACATGCAAATGCTCTATTCTCTTTAAATGTATCATCAGTTAATGTATTTACAAAAGGAGTTGAGTGGTATGAGATCATCCCACTGCCTCAGGAACTAGCAATATCAACAGACACCACCTTCCCCAGGGTACTGAGGAAATCTACATGAATTAGTACATACTAATGCAGACATGCAATGTTATACATACATCACATATAATTACATACACATTATATACAGGTGTGATGTGTATGTAATTCTATGTGTGTGCAATATGTACAAATTTCCATGTGATGTGTATGTAATATACACGCAATGGTATGAGATGTGCATGTAATAGTATGAGATACGTTTCTCAGCCACACTGAGACTGATCTCTCAGCAATAATGGTACGTTTTCCCCAGTGAGGGTCTTATCTGCTGGGAATGGGGAGAGAGTGGGAGAGGGGAGTGGGATTGAGGAGGGAATGGGAGAGAGTGGGAGAGAGATGGAGAGAGGAGAGTAGGATTGAGGAGGGAGAGAGTGGGAGAGAGATGGAGAGAGGAGAGTAGGATTGAGGAGGGAGAGAGTGGGAGAGAGATGGAGAGGAGGATTGAGGAGGGAGAGAGTGGGAGAGAGATGGAGAGGAGGATTGAGGAGGGAGAGAGTGGGAGAGAGATGGAGAGAGGAGAGTGGGATTGAGGAGGGAGAGAGTGAGAGAGAGATGGAGAGAGGAGAGTGGGACTGAGGAGGGAGAGAGTGGGAGAGAGATGGAGAGAGGAGAGTGGGATTGAGGAGGGAGTGAGTGGGAGAGAGATGGAGAGGAGGATTGAGGAGGGAGAGAGTGGGAGAGAGATGGAGAGAGGAGAGTGAGATTGAGGAGGGAGAGAGTGGGAGAGAGATGGAGAGAGGAGAGTGGGATTGAGGAGGGAGTGAGTGGGAGAGAGATGGAGAGGAGGATTGAGGAGGGAGAGAGTGGGAGAGAGATGGAGAGAGGAGAGTGGGATTGAGGAGGGAGTGAGTGGGAGAGAGATGGAGAGGAGAATTGAGGAGGGAGAGAGTGGGAGAGAGATGGAGAGAGGAGAGTGGGATTGAGGAGGGAGAGAGTGGGAGAGAGATGGAGAGGAGGATTGAGGAGGGAGTGAGTGGGAGAGAGATGGAGAGAGGAGAGTGGGATTGAGGAGGGAGTGAGTGGGAGAGAGATGGAGAGGAGGATTGAGGAGGGAGAGAGTGGGAGAGAGATGGAGAGAGGAGAGTGGGATTGAGGAGGGAGTGAGTGGGAGAGAGATGGAGAGGAGGATTGAGGAGGGAGAGAGTGGGAGAGAGATGGAGAGAGGAGAGTGGGATTGAGGAGGGAGTGAGTGGGAGAGAGATGGAGAGGAGGATTGAGGAGGGAGAGAGTGGGAGAGAGATGGAGAGAGGAGAGTGGGATTGAGGAGGGAGAGAGTGGGAGAGAGATGGAGAGGGATTGAGGAGGGAGAGTGGGAGAGAGATGGAGAGGGGGATTGAGGAGGGAGAGAGTGGGAGAGAGATGGAGAGAGGGATTGAGGAGGGAGAGAGTGGGAGAGAGATGGAGAGAGGGATTGAGGAGGGAGTGAGTGGGAGTGGGGAGAGAGGGAGTTGGGCGCCTGTTATTCGGGACGGAGCTGTCAGACCCGGTGGCTCTCCCACGCGGTGGGTGGATGGAGAGAGAGAGAGAGAGCTCCCGACCCCTCTCCGCTGGTTCGAAAGATCAAGATTAAGCCAATGCCGGCGGGAGTGGGCTGGGACACGGCGCCGCGATTGGTGTAGAGGGCTCTGCTGATCTCCTCGGCTCCAGCAGCCCATTAATGGTTAATCGGGAGCCTGGCGGCGTGTTGCGGGGGGTCGGACCCGCACAGCAATCAGCAATCAGCGGATGCAACATGAGCTGCTGAAGGCAGACAGGTGAGGAGAGAGGGAGAGAGAGAGAGGGGGAGGGAGAGAGAGAAGGTATCAGGACGTGCAGCGGAGAGAGGGAGAGAGCATCCACGATGGGGAAAGGAGGAGAGAAGGGTGAGGAGGACGCACAGTGTCAGACGCAGCCCCTGTGCTACACTTGGGAAGAAGTTCAGAAGCACAGCAGCAAAGCGGATCAGTGGCTGGTGATTGACAGGAAGGTCTACAACATCACCGAGTGGGCGAACAGACACCCCGGAGGCCACCGAGTCATCAGCCACTATGCCGGAGAGGAGGCCACGGTAAGCGGCTCAGCGGGGGGCCGGGGACCGCTCGTCTGGGACCGTGTGCACACCAACATACAGCCATCATACACCGTAACATACAGCCATCATACACCGTAACATACAGCCATCGTACACCGTAACATACAGCCATCATACACCGTAACATGCAGCCATCATACACCGTAACATACAGCCATCGTACACCGTAACATACAGTCATCATATACCTGAACATACAGTCATCATATACCTGAACATACAATCATCATATACCTGAACATACAGTCATCATATACCTGAACATACAGTCATTATGTGCATCCACATACAATACCTTACAATAATGATATATACAGTAATTGTGTATGTTAACCCTGATACAGGTGTGTACATTAATGCACAGTAAATATGTACACTTTACTATACTGTGTGTGACTGTTCACATCAGTATCATCTGACTACATGAATAGTGTGTACATTAATACACCCCACTATGTACACTAATGTACTGCAATGGCACATCATTACACTGTGTACAATAATGTACTGTCACAATGTATATTAATACAATCACTGTGTGTGCATCAATAAACAGTGACTGTGTACAGTAATAATAATCACTGTATACAGTAATAATAATCACTGTGTACATCAATAATAATAATTACTGTGTACATTAATCCACTGTGTATACATCAATAATGATCATCACTGTGTGCATATTAATGCACTATGTGTACATTAATGTAGAGTGGCTGTGTGTATTAATGTAGAGTGACTGTGTGTGCGCATTAATGTAGAGTGACTGTGTATTAATGTAGAGTGACTGTATTAATGTAGAGTGACTGTATTAATGTAGAGTGACTGTAATAATGTAAAGTGACTGTATTAATATAGAGTGACTGTGTGTGTATTAATGTAGAGTGACTATGTGTGTAATAATGTAGAGTGACTATGTGTGTAATAATGTAGAGTGCTGTGTGTGTGTATTAATGTAGAGTGACTATGTGTGTAATAATGTAGAGTGCTGTGTGTGTGTATTAATGTAGTCTGTGTGTGTGTATTAATGTGCAGTGACTGTGTGTGTATTAATGTAGAGTGACTGTGTGTGTATTAATGTGCAGTGACTGTGTGTGTATTAATGTAGACTGACTGTATGTGTATTAATGTAGACTGACTGTGTATTAATGTAGACTGAATGTATTCATGTAGAGTGACTGTATTAATGTAGAGTGACTGTGTGTATTAATGTAGAGTGCTGTGTGTGTGTATTAATGTAGCGTGACTGTATGTATGTATTAATGTAGCGTGTGTGTATTAATGTAGCGTGACTGTGTGTGTATTAATGTAGAGTGACTGTGTGTGTAATAATGTAGAGTGACTGTGTGCGTGTAATAATGTAGAGTGACTGTGTGTGTATTAATGTAGTGACTGTGTGTGTATTAATGTAGAATGACTATTAATGTAAAGTGACTGTGCGTGTATTACTGTAGAGTGACTGTGTGTGTGTGTGTGTGTGTGCGTGTAGTATAATGGGATCCTCTGACGGTGTTTAGAGAGCTGGTGAAAGCCAGCGAGTGAGAGGCAGACAAAGATTGAGGCAGCTTCATTTTTCACCTTCTGTGCTTTGTGTGTGTTAGTGTGTGTGGGTGTGTATATTCGAAGCGCTAATTTAAAGCCGGACTCTGCAGGAATAGCTCGGCCATCTCTGGGGAGCCGGTCTCTACCCCCCCCGTGTGTGTGTGTGTGTGTGTGTATATATGTGTGTGTCCCATTGATGAGGTTACTGCAGGTCAGGATAGCCGGGTTTCTGTCGGTCAGGCTGTGCAATGGGAAGCTGCGCTCGGCTGAGACTCACACAAAGCACATCGCACTGGGTGCAATACCCCGACTTGCAATCCGCCGCGATAATACAGAGCAAAGATGGTTAATATTCCCGACTGAGCTGCCGAGAATCTCGGTTCGGCGTAAAGATTATCAATCAACAAGCTGCAGGCAAGGGCATTTGCAAGCGGGCTACACGTCTCCATTAATTTTCCTTACACTACAAGACACTGGTTGGAAAGAGGCTCTTTTGCAAATCGAGTCTATGAATTTGGTTATATACTGTAGCATTCCCCCACCCCCCCAAAAAAAAAAATCAGTGTCTCTGAATTGTTAGAGACACAGAGTAAAGGGTTATGTAGAGTAAAACACCCTCTATTGTTCTGCCCTGACATCATCTGCCACTCAACGCTATTCACTCAGTCTCTCCCACATTAGGTGTGACAGCCTGGCTTCAGTACAGAGAGTTCTAGACTCTAGGTCAGAAGTTTTGGGGTGTGGGGGGTGGGGGGGGGGGGTGTCTTTCCTGCTCCGTCTCTGCGTTCCTGCCCTTTCCTGATTTCACTTTTATTTGTCTCAGCAACTCTCCTTAGTCACGTGCGTCAACCTGACTCAGTGGTAGCGCTCTCGCCTGCGTTTCGGAAGGTTGTAGGTTTCAAAGCCCCACATCGGGATTCAGAATCTCACAGTCTTAGCTGACACTCCATTGCAGGGCTGTGGGGTGGGGCGGTGGTATTGTCAGAGGTGCCGTCCTTCGGATGAGATGTTAAACCGAGATCCCATCTGCATGTTCAGGTGTCACTAATGGAAAGGATAAGGGAGTTTTTCCCAGTGTCTTGGCCAACAAGCCCCCAGATAAAATGAATCACTCATTCCATAACTGTTTGTGGGACACTGCTGTATGCAATTGGCTGCTGCCCACAAATCACACAGTCAATCCATTTTACCATATATCATGTGAAGTGCTTTTGAGATGTCTCGAGGATGTGATAAGGGGCTATATCAAATGCAAGGATTATTATTATTTCTTTATTCAGCCAATCAACGGAAGTCAACAGTTTCTAGGAAGGGTGGCAGAGGCCAGGTCACATATAAGACTTATAAGAAAGATATAACATATAAGAAACAGCTCAATACTGTAATGGGAAGACAGTGGGTGGGACAGACCGTCAGTCATTGGTACACAGGTGGACGGGAGATCATTGTAGTGTCTCATCATTTGATATTTTTCACTAACATGGTCACTGCAGTAATGTGCACAGGTTGAAGGCATAGCCACCACTTACTTGGGTCCAGTTTGTACTTGAACAGGTGTAACCAAAGTGGCTCCATGGTAAGTCTCAGCCTGACTCAGTTGAGAGGACTCTCGCTGCTGGATCGAAGTTTGTGGGTTCAAGCCCCATGTTGATTCTTTGATTTCACAGTCTTGGCTGACGCTCCAGTGCAGCGCTGAACGGCGCTGAGAACTGAGACTCCGTCAGCCCATTCGTGTGGTTCTTAAAGATCCCATGGCACTATTAGAAAAGAGAAGGGAGTTTCTCCCGATGTCCTGACTGACAATCCCCCAAATAATATTGGTCATTGACTTCACGGACATTGCTGTGCACTTTCATTAATATAAAAACACTGCATTTTACAGAGACCTCTGTGAGGAGCTTCGAGACGTTTTGATGAGATTGTTATTTTCCAGTAGCAAGGCTTGTGTGTGATCACAGAGCAGGATCATCAGTATTGCATGGCTGGTGATTGTACAATGTGGCAGTAAAATAAATAATAGCTAAAATAATAAGGTTAAGCAGTGCTTTCAAAATAGAGAGGTGGTGGGGGGAAGGGAGAGATTATTTACAGTATTTTCCAGACAGCAGGTGCATGTCTTAGTGTTTAGCTGCGGGCTCCAGGTCACTGGGTTACTACAATAAGAGGCTGATTATTGGGACATGATATTAAAGCACTCCACACTGTGTGAGGCTTAACGCTCACCTGCAAAAGTGCAAGTCTTTAAGGCAGGGATTTATTTCAGTATCTTCTCGTCTCCTTGTGTTTTTAAACAAATTTAATAATATAATAATAATAATCCTTCCTTTTGATATAGCGCCCCATCATGTCTTTGAGACGTCTCAAAGAGCTTCACAGAATATATTGTCAAGTGAATTGACTGTGTATTTTGTGGACGAAACGTGGCAGCCAATTACGCACAGCAGTGTCCCACAAACAGTTGTAGATTTTTTTGAGGGATTATTACCCACGGAAAGCGATCCGCCAATCGATTCGCAACAGGGTTCCTACTTACTGCTAGGTGAACAGAGGTGTGTGGAGTAAGGAAACTTAAGTTTTGCCCCACCCGGGAACCGAAGCCGGGTCCTGTCGCTTGCAAGGCGAGTGCCCAATACACTATGGGACTCCAATCCATTGTACTGAGTGTATGGTATATTATAACAACAACAACTTGCATTTATATAGAGCCCTTCAAGCAGGGTAGTGTCCCAGAGCGCTTGACAGTGGCGGAGCACAACCCCGAGCTGGGGGAGGGGGAATTATCGTCTCAAATCTCAACAAAATTTCCAGGTAGATAAAGGTGGACCCCCTTGACAGACGGAGACGGACCCCTGATAATAATCCAGGCATTTACTAGAGCACATTTAATATTGGAGGGACATCTCAACCTGCTTCACACTACACAGCCTGCATTTTGGAAGCAAATGGAGCAGTCAATTTTACCCATAGCCATGTCTCACAAAACAACTGTGAAACGAAACAACTTTATCTGGGGGATTGATTTGCCAGGACACCAGGAGAAACTTTATACTTTTTCCCAATAGTGTAACAGGAATCTTTAACCTCCATCTGAATAGGCACAGGCAAATCTTATGTGTTCAAAGGCAAACACGGCAGCCAATTTGTGCACAGCAATATCCCACAAACAGCCATGGGGGATTGTTGGTCAGGACATCGGAGATAGAAACTCCCTTCTCTTTTTGAATAGTGCCATGGGATCTTTAATATGCAAGAGGGGCTTCGGTTTAAAGTCTCATCTGAATGACAGCACCTCCGACAACTCAGTGTTCCCCCAGCAGTGCAGCGTCAGCCCCGACTACATGAGCTGAAAGTCCCAATGTGAGCCATGAACCCAAAACCTTTTGACACAGAGGCGGGAGTGCCAACAACTGAGCCAGGCTGACACGAGGATCTAGTCTGAGGTTGCCCAGGACTCCTCCAGCTCTTAGAGGGTTGGAGGGGGTCTTAACCGTGGCTTCAAACCCAACCATCTTGACAAACTCAGGACGTGTTCACCTGCGGCCAGTCACAATGTTGAAAGGTCAGAATTTTTGGTGATGTGATAATTATCACATTGAATGATATATTTTCACTTCTGGTTGTTTCCAAACCCTAATAAAGGTCACTTGTGTTTTTTATCTCTTCTAGGACGCTTTCCAGTCTTTCCACCCCGATCTAAACTTTGTCCGGAAATTTCTGAAGCCTCTCCTGATTGGTGAACTTGCTCCTGGTGAGCCCAGTCTAGACAGGCAGAAAAAGGTGAGGAGAGTCTCAAGGTTTCGGGAAAGTATTGGCAACACAACATTTGAAATCCGTGGTGGCCATTTTCAGACACATTGCAGTTCAGCCAATTCCTGTGCCCTTCACAAGTCATTTCCTCCGCCCTACTCATGTCATTTCATGGGCTCTACTGTATCATTACTTGTGCCTCATATGTCTAAGAATCACAAGCCTATGACCCCCTCCTTGCTCGTATAACTATTTCCAAAATTAGTGTCTCACTCACTCATTCATTTGGGAAACGTGTGATATAAAATCAGTTTACTTTATTCTTGAGAATATTTTACTCTTTAAAGTGAGGGGTACAGAGTAAAGCTCCCTCTACACTGTCCATCCATACTCCCAGGTCAGCGACAGCACAGGTTGGAGACAGAATAACGCTCCCTCTATAGCGTCCGTCCAGCACTGCACCGAGCGTGTGATTGAATGCTGTCCTTACAGTGATGGATGGGAGGTACTGGAGAGTTATAATAATAATATAATAATCCTTGCATTTGGTATATTGAGTGAGCGGGATGAGAGGTATCCTATTGCAAGTGTAACATTAACAGTATAATGGGTGCAGGGTGTAAAGAGCAGAAAGCAGAGGCCAGGCTCGATTACTGGTGCTCGGGAGCTTCCAGTCTTACATTATACATGCTGCTGCCATCAGCAATGGGCGGACCTGGTAACAGAACACTAGTCATTCTTCCTAAGCTGTACAATAACAGGCCGATAAGTAACTGATCTCCACTGGGCTGCCAGCAGTGTTACAGAGCCTGGGTCTTAGTCTGCTCTATATCCCCAGGAGGTGAGGGCTTGTGCTCATTGAAGCAAGCACAGGTTAGAGACAAAGTAAAGCTCCCTCTGCACTGAGGAAAATCAGTTTTGACCCAAATGTTTTTTTATATAATAATCCTTGGCTTTGATACTGCACCTGATCAGGCCATTGAGACACCTCAACGGGCTTCACAAGAAGTTATTGTTGAAGTGCAGTGACTGTGTATTTGTAGGTGAACGCGATAGCCAACTTGTGCACAGCAATGCCCCACAAACAGACAGGGAATTATCGGCCAGGACACCAGAAGAAGCTCCCTAGTTTTTTCCAATAGTGCCATGGAATTTTTAACAGCCACCTGAACAGGCACATATATTCATGTCGCTTAACATCTCATCTGAAGGACAATGTAGTGCTTCCCCAATGCAGTGATGGAACGTCAGCCTGGACTGTGAGGCTTCCTCACAACTGTTCGGTCTGTTTGAAAGGATTCTGAGAGTGAGCCAGAGAGAGATTAAATATTCAGTACTGATGAACTGCAGACATTATTTATTAATACGAAGAGCTAGTTTTGTAGAATTGAATGTCCACAGCAATGGCCTCAATGTTCCGGAACGATGATGATACAGAAACGGAATAGGCCTCCTGTGACATGTGCTGCTCTGGTGTCACTGAAAAGGAAAAGCTGCTCAGCAGATCCAGAGATACCTGGTTGATGTCTCTGGTATATCGACCTTTCCCCTCCCCCCCACACGCACACACAGAAGGTGTTCTCTCTCTTCCATCAGAGCTCTGTTTGACAGAGGCAACTCTCTGACAGACAGGAGCAAATATTCGAGTCAGAAAAGCAGCTCCAGATATTCACAGGGAGCTCAACACCTCTAACTGCCTCTTGTATATCAGCTTGGTTCAGTTGGTAACACTCTCGCTCCCGAGTCAAAAGAATGCGGGTTCAAGTCCCACATTGGGTCTTGGAACTCGTATTGTTTAGGCTGACACTTCAGTGCAGTGCTGGGTGGGGGTCACTGCTTGCCAGAGATGCTGCCCTTTGGGTGAGATGTTAACCAAGGCCCAGTCTGCCTGTTCAGATGGACGTTAAAGATCCAATGGTACTACAGTACGATTGGAAAATAGAAGGCAATTTCTCTCTCCAGGTGTCCTGATCAACATTCCCCCAAATAAACAATATTGAAGATAGGTGGGAGAGTAAGCTGTGAGGATGACACACAAAGAATGCAAAGGGAAATAGACAGGCTAGGTAAGTGGGCAAGAAGGTGGCAGATGGAGTATAACGTGGGGAAGTGTGAAGTTATTCACCTAGGTAGTAAAAATAGAAAAGCGGATTATTTTCTAGAGCGGGAGAGACTAGGTAGTGTTAGTGTTCAGAGGGATTTGGGTATCCTTGTACACCAGTCACAACAAGTTAGTATACAGGTGCAGCAAGCAACTAGGAAGACTAATGCCATGTTGGCGTTCGTTGCAAAAGGGTTAGAGTACAAGAGTAGGGAAGCCTTGCTACAGATGTATAAGGCTTTGGTGAGACCACACCTAGAATATTGTGTGCAGTTTTGGTCTCTTTATTTAAGAAAGGACATACTCGCCTCAGAGTGGGTGCAGTGTAGGTTGGTTCCTGGGATGAGGCGGTTGACCTACGAGGATAGGTTGAGTAAACTAGGCTTATATTCTCTAGAATATAGAAGAATTAGAGGTGATCTTATAGAAAACTATCAGATTCTTTAGGGTCTTTACAGAATAGATGCCATGAGACTGTTTTCCCTGGTTGGAAAATCTAAAACTAGGGGTCATATTCTCAAGATTAAGGGTCAGCCTTTTCGAACTGAGTTGAGGAAACATTTCTTCACTCAGAGGGCAGTGAATTTGTGAAATTCTCTTCCCCAGAAGGCTGTGGATGCTCAGTCCTTGAACATATTCAAGACTGAGATTGATAGATTTCTAAAGGATAAAGTGATTAAGGGATATGGGAATAGGGCGGGTAAATAGAATTAGGTTAGAAGATTAACCATGATCTTATTAAATGGCGGGGCAGACTCGAGGGCTCGAATGGCCGACTCCTGCTCCTACATCTTATGGACTTATGTTCTAAAATTGGTCACTCACTTAATTGCTAGTTGTGGGACTTTGCTAGGTGGAAATTGATGACTGTGTTCACTACAAAGTAAACAGTCACTGTAGCATGGACTTTGTAGAAGGAGCTTTACTCTGCCTTTAACCTATGCTGTCACTGACCTGGGAATGTGGACGGACAGTATAGAGGGAGCTTTACTCTGTGTCTAACCTGTGCTGTTACTGACTGGGGAGTGCAGATGGGGTACTAACAGTTTTCCCATTGAATACAAAATTCATGGAAAGAAAAAGTTATACTGTAGCCAGAAAGTTCAGAGAGAACGTGATCAGTGACTCTCAGTCTTCCCTCAATCCCTCAGCTGGAGCTGGCTGAGGATTTCCGGGCCTTGCGAAAGACTGCAGAGGAGATGAAGCTCTTCAACACAGACCTGGTCTTCTTCTCTCTGTACCTGGGACATCTCTTTGTACTGGAGTTCCTGGCCTGGCTCACGCTCTGGTACTTTGAGTCAGGTTGGATTCCAACCATCCTCACTGCCATTATCCTGGCAACCTCTCAGGTAAGGGAAAGCTCATTCCTGACAGCATGGAAAGTGCAGAAAGGCTTTCACCTGACCTTTACCTGACAGACTGGTTCCTATCTCCCTGCCTGCAGCTTCTAATTACATTTCACATAAGCATCCTGTGGAGCAGAGTATTTGATAAATCTTATTCCCAACAGTCACAACATTGTAGTTCAAGGAGTTTGGTGTTAAAGATACTGAGTTGAGGCAGCTTGGATCCAAGATTATGATAATGATAATCCTTGCATTTGATATTGCATCTTATCACGTCTTTGAGACATCTCAAAGCATTTCACAGTAAATCACGTAGGAGATTGGCCAGACTCAAACCTGAAGAATACTGATTATTTTCAGCTAATTACATTGTGTGGTTGTCCAACTCTCCAATATTGGGTTCAGCTTGTAACTCACTTCATGATCTTAGTGAGACTGGGGCAAGGGTGAGCTTCCTTCTTCCTTCGAGAACAGATGACAAGAGATTAAAGACATTCATAATCTAATGGTTGTTACAAAATGCGTCAACCATGGATTGAATTAACCACTGACCTCTTGGACCTGATCTGGCTACAAACATTAAGACGTAAACCTTTCTTTGAGAATAGTGTGGAGTCGGAAGCTAGTGAGCCCAGAGGGTAAGTCACACATTATAGCCTCCTATCTATTGACCACAGCCCTTGTTGTAATTGAACAGTTCAGTGAGGGAGATTCAGGAGGTTTAAATATTCTGTGACATTATGCAGTGCCGGGTTCACCTACACAGTCACTACACTTTACAGAATGCTGAACCGTTTTCGTAGTTGTATGAAACACAAGGATTATTTGTGGATTAATGCACTGTCTCCATGTAGCATGACAGCATAGCCAGCCTGGCTCATTGGTAGGACTTGGAAGGGCAGACAAGTCACTGGGGCAGAGAATCCTCCCACTCAGCACTCATTCACCCTGCAAGCCAAAGCCCTAGAGGTCTTAGCTGGGCAAGCAGCGGTAAAGCTTACCAAACAGTGCTCTCAATGGTTACTATGCGGTGTTAGCTGGTTAGACTCCAGCAGTTACCCCAACAAACACTATGGGTCTCCAAGCCTTGCCTAATACTTTCCAGAATTAGATAAGCGGGATGTGACATTCCATGGAGAGAGTGCGCATTCCTTTCCAACAATCTATCTCTGGGATTTCCATGTGTAGTTGGTGTTCATGAAATTCTCAGTTTGGTTTGGATACTCTGAAGCATGGTGGTTGGTTTCCGCACGTGTCAGACACCCAAAAATGTGGGATGAGTTAGAGATGATTTGAGAGGGGAAGCTTGGGGTGGGGGATGGCCGTTTGACTCGCTTGCTCGCTCGCTGTGCGATTGTGTTAAGGAGGCTAAAAGCCTCTCTCTGTCTGCTCCAGGCTCAGGCAGGCTGGCTCCAGCACGACTTTGGCCACCTGTCTGTCTTCAAGAAATCCAAATGGAATCACTTACTACACAAGTTTCTAATTGGTCACATGAAGGTAAGATGGAGGAGCATGGAGTGGAGTGGGGGAAGGGCAGGGTGGGGGGGCAATGGGGGTGGTGCAATGGATAGAAGAGAAAGAAACCCTCTAACAGTACAGCTAAGAGTTATTTTTTTCCTGCAGTGTGTTAATGCGTATGGAGAGTGTCTGTAACTAATGGAGGAAGGGTGGGGGGAGAGGGAAGATGGCAGTGATGGCAGTTGCCTGTAATATTGGTGTTTATAGTTTGGTCTCTGGATTAAATCTGACCGGACGTTCTCTGTTACAAACTCAGGGGGCGTCAGCAAACTGGTGGAACCACCGTCACTTTCAGCATCACTCAAAACCCAACATCTTCCACAAGGACCCAGATGTGAACATGCTGCACATGTTTGTGCTGGGAGAGACGCAGCCTGTGGAGGTACGTGAGTAACAGTGAATGAGTAACAGTGAGTGCACGATGTGGATCACAGTGAGTGAGGTCCCACAGTGAACGTAGAGACTGACCACGATGCCTGACCTGATTCTCTTTCTCTCTCTGAACAGTACGGGAAGAAGAAATTAAATTACCTGCCCTACAATCACCAGCACCAGTATTTTTTCCTCAGTAAGTGCGCTCATTTGCCAGCGCGGCTTCGTTTCCATTCCCCGTGACACAGACCTGACATTTCCTGGTGCTAATTATTGTCATTGAACATCTTAAATTATACCCTGTAATTCCCCTTCCTAATGATGTCACTCGCTCCCCTCGACGATGTCACTCGCTCCCCTCGACGATGTCATTCACTCCCCTCGAATGATGTCACTCGCGCCCCTCGAATGATGTCTCTCGCGCCCCTCGAATGATGTCACTCGAATCCCTCGACGATGTCAATCGCGCCCCTCGAATGATGTCACTCGCGCCCCTCGAATGATGTCACTCGCGCCCCTCGAATGATGTCACTCGCGCCCCTCGAATGATGTCTCTCGCGCCCCTCGACGATGTCACCCGCTCCAACCGTGGCGTTACCCCCCACCCCCTCCCCTGGTGATATTATTATTGTATTATTATGCTAAAGCTTGCTGCTCTGTGTTCTCCTGCAGTTGGGCCGCCCCTGCTCATCCCAGTGTATTTCCACATTCAGATAACGACCACCATGATAAACCGCCGGGACTGGGTGGTAAGTACAGAGGCGAGGGCCTGAACGCGAGCGCCACCCCCCCCCCCACCCTCTCACGCCGCACACTGTGTTATTCTGCATCAAGTATCAGACTCCCTGTCCAGCTGGTTAACTGAGCGAGCTGGTCACAAATTACTGGTGTTTATTATAAAAGTTCTTTGTACTTTATTTCATTTCATCATATCATACGCAAGGGGAAACATCAGTCATTTAGGAGAGCAAAACTTTCCAACAAAAGCCCTGCTCCCCACCCCCATACCCCCCCACCCAGCGCCGAACACCCACCCTTTGTCATGGCCAACAGCAGACATGGTTGATGATCACTGGCTTGAGCTGCAGTGATACTGTGACATATTTTACTGCAGGGAGGTGAGGGGAGAGATTCACAGCGTTTATAGATTCTAATTCCTTCACACTTCAGTCTGTGTCTGTCCCACTTTCAGGATCTGGCCTGGGCGATGACGTATTACATCCGCTACTTTTCCACCTACATCCCTTTCTATGGATTTTTTGGATCTATAGCCTTTGTCATGTTCGTCAGGTGCGTTCATTCTGGGGAAACTCCTTGTGCTGTGGTCTCAGCCTGGCTCAGGTGGTAGCACACTTGCCGTGGGTCAGAAGATTGTGGGTTGAAGTTCCAAATTGGTCCAGGCTGATGCTCCAGTCCTGGGGGACTGCTGCCTTGCCAGTGGAGCTGTCCTTCGGATCAGATGTTAAACTATGTTGTGTCTCTCTTTTCGTGTGGACATTACACATCCTGGGAAATGATTGGAAAAGAGAACGAGAATTTCATCCTGGTGTCTTGGCCAAAAATCATTCAGTTCAATTGGTCGCTCACTTCTCTTCACAGCTGTTTGTGGGACGTTGCTGTGTGCAAATTGGTCGCCTCATTTATCTCCAAATACACAGTCACTACACTTTACAGAAAATTCTGTGAAGTGAATGAGGTATTTTAACATGATATCAAATGCAAGGATTATTATTGTAATAGTCCAAACATTAATACTCAGTCACACAGGACACACTGACCTGGGCGGTGAGCACCTGTGAGGGTGTGAGAGTGTTTCACTTGGGCAACCAGCATCATGGCCAACATTAAATATAACTGGAAGATTGTTCGCTGGGACACCGGGAGAAACTCTCTTGTCATTTCTAGTCCTGTGGGATCCTTAACGTCCAGCTGAATAAGCACAGACGAGACCTCAGCGCTGTCCTCTTGGAGATTCTATGGGAGTTGAACCCATTTCAATCTGGATTCAGGCTTGATCTTTGGGTTTCTGAGGCCTGAATTTCTATCTCCACATAATCTTAACAAATTGCATTTACTTTACATTTGCATAGCGCCTTTCACGTCGGGAGGTCGATCAAAGGTGCTGAATTTTGAAGAATCTTAGACTCCATCTCCATCTGGAAACCTTACAAAGCCAACTTCCATATTAAGACAAAATTGAAGAATCTTCCAAAATTCTGGGCTGTCTTTAATTTGAAGACTAAATGCCCTGAAGGCTAAGAGCAAGTGGAATTTTGTGGCTGAGATGCTCTATGTCCGTTCTCTATGTGCATGCTCTATGTCCATTCTCCCAGAGCACAGGGTTGCAAATGAGGGGTTCATCTGTTGGATGGTCTCAGAGTAAATAGATTCAGGACATGAGGAAGGTCTGTTGTTCTACCAGCAAATAAGCAGCTGCTCGGGTCAGGCACAGCATGGCAGGTCATTGGGATTTGATAGCTGAGGGCTTAGCTGATGGGGGAACGTGACTTACTGATGCTCTGCTTCTTCTGTGTAGGTTCTTAGAGAGCCACTGGTTTGTGTGGGTCACTCAGATGAACCATATTCCAATGAACATTGATGATGAGAAGCACAAGGACTGGTTGACAATGCAGGTAACTTCAGCTCTGAGCTGTTTGATGATCCATCTCCACCCCTGCCCATGATCAGCCATGATCTACAAAAATGGAGGCACAGGTTCGAGGGGCTGAATGGCCCCTGTGTTCCTATATATGCCCTGCGTGACTATGCTTAGCCACCATGTTAGAAGGCTGAGCGAGGAGGAATGACTAGATAGATTAGTCCTGAAGAGAGATGTAACAGAAGTGACCATATAAAATGTCAAATTTGACAGAGAAACTAATACTTGTGGATAAGCAAAGGCAGCAGAACAAGAGGACTCAGGTTTAGAGTTGCAAATGAAATTTCAAGACGGGCATCAGAAATATTTCTTTACACAGATTAAGGACCGGAACACTTTCCCAGGAAGCATGATTATTTATGGACTCATTTTTAAAAAAACAAACAGCTTGATGTTGTTATGGGAAGATAGACAATTAGGGTGGGTGTTCTGGAAGGATGAGATCAGTTGGGGTGAATGGTTTACTTCACCTGAAACTCTTTATGAAGGTAGCTGACTCCCCACAGAAGCCCATTCACCCTCCGCATGTCGGAAGGATCACTCCCTCAGTCTCATCTGGTCTACATAAGGTTTAGAGGCCGAGACTGGTGCTCGGTTGGTAAAATAGTTTTTTGCATTGTTCAGTGGCCCCGGAGAGAACCAACTGGTTTCCAGGGCCAGCTCCTTAATGGGTGGCTTCCCCTCCTTGGTTTCATTATCACACTGAGCATCAATTATTTACGCAGGAGCCAGATTGGGGGCCGATTGATTTCAGGGTTGTGTTTCAGTGTATTGTTTTTCAGAATGTTATGAGTCCAGATGGCAAGTCATTAAATTGTTAGCAGAGGATTAATGTGTCTGTTATAATGAGCAAGCAGCTGCCAGAGTTACTTAGTCTAAAGTCGAAATGCCAGCCAAGGTTCACCAGGGTGACTGAACCTGCACAGAGCTGGAGGAGAGGTGTTACCCAATCAACTGGCATGACGTTCCATGGCCAACCAACTGACTGACTGATCCTTCCCTCGACCGACCAACCTTCTCACCATGTCCAGGGATGGGGCAGGGCATTGGTCAACATTGGGAATTGATCGTGTGGCAATGCTGTTAATTCTGCTGTTCAGCAAATGACGTGCAGCTCTGCTTGAATTTCAGTTACAAGCCACGTGTAACATTGAGCAGTCCGCCTTCAATGACTGGTTCAGTGGTCACCTGAACTTCCAGATCGAGCATCAGTAAGTAATAATAATAATCTTTGCATTTGATATAGCACCTTATCATGGTGTTGAGATGGCTCAAAGCAGTTCACAGAATTTACTGTAAGGTGAATTGACTGTATATTTTGTGGGCAAAACGAGGCAGCCAATTGCGCGAGGCACTGTCCCACAAACAGTTGTGACTAAATTTTTTTTTTGTGTTTTGTGGGCGAAATGCGGCAAACTGTTGTGGATTGAGTGAACAATTTTTTTTGAGGGCTTATTATACCCAGAGACCAATCCAGCAATTGGCTAAACAACCATGTGCCTACTTACCGCTAGTTAAACAGAGGTGTGTGGAGTAAGGAAACTTGCCTTAGGTTTCACACCGCCCAGGAATTGAACCCGAGTCCTCTCACTTGGGAGGCAAGCACGCTAACCACTACTCTACAGCCACCTTCTGGGCTCGGACCCCGGGGCAGGGAATGGACAGGATGGTGTCCTGCAGGCTGGGGAGACTGACATCCTCTCCTAGTTATGGTCCAAGTGAATGTTATCCAGAGCTGTCTGCGTGATGATCAAAGGGAATGATAGGTTGGCTCAGACAGTCAACTGTGCTATTGTCACTTCCCCCATCCCCCGACTCGGCATTGTGCTCGCCACTGTCAAGCGCCCTGGGACGCTATCCTGCATGAAGGGCGCTATATAAATGCAAGTTGTTGTTGTTGATTTTAAAGATCCTGTGGTGCTATTGGAAAAGGAGTTTCTCTCTGCCAGTGACCTGGCCAACAATCCTCCAGATAAATTGGTCATTCACCTCGTTGGCTGTTTACATTGCCAGATTGCTCGCTGTGCTTGTCTCTAACCTGTTTACTTCACAAATATCTGTGAAGTAATTTGTCGTTATCATCTTTATTGCATTGATCTGTCTCCACAATGACTTGCATAATACACACAATGCAGCGAGGAGAACCATTTAAAGCTGTACTGAGAGTGCGGACGGACAGTGTAGAGGGAGCTTTACTCTGTCTCCAACCCATGTTGTCACTGAGCTGGGAGTGTGGACGGGCAAGTGTTTATGGGCATTATATGAATTGTTTTTTCCAGTCTGTTCCCGACGATGCCTCGCCACAACTACTGGAAAGTCGCTCCTTTGGTAAAGTCACTGTGTGAGAAGCACGGACTGAAATACCAGGTCAAGCCTCTGTTCCAGGCTTTCAAGGATATTGTGGGGTGAGTATTGTAAACACAACCAGGAAAAGGGTCCCCCTAGCCCAATGCCCCCCTAGCCAACTCCCCACCCCAGTAAAACTGAGCCAGACAGATGCTTATAGTTATCTTAAATACTGTCACGAGGGTCCAGTTTGTGCTTGACTTAAATCTTGTGTACAGGATGACCACAAAGTCCTGTTACCCCCATGTTTTTTTTATACACTGAGCCGCCTACTGAAACATGTAGAAGAATCATGACAGTTGTATCTGGACATACTTAATTGTATTCAGTACAAATGTTTGACTGTATTTAGATGTCCATAAGATGGGTGTGAGTGAGCGCCATCATTTTCATGGCAGATAGTGATCAGTCGCCATGTTTGTTGAGACATCTTCTGTAGCATGATGGAGTGATGAGGCAAAATGTATCTCTGACAGCTCCTCCGTAGTCTCATATCGCTGCTTTATAACAGGATTTTGCGGACACCCTGTGAATGAGGGGAAGCTGTGGACACAGGAGCTTCTGAGGCTCCAGGTCACTGTGAGATCCCAGTCGCCTGAACATTCGGATCTTTTCTCTCAAGTTCGCTCCACACCTGATCCGTTCCTCCCTCATTTCTTTCTCTAGGTCACTGAGGATGTCCGGTGAGCTGTGGTTAGACGCCTATCTCCACAAGTGAGGGAACTTCAGAGTCCCCGCCCTCTCTGTGTGTTTCACTCTCTCTCTGTCGGTCTCTCTCTCTCTTTCTCACTCTGTCTCTTTTTCTCTCTCCTTTTCTCTCTCTCTCTGAATTCCAGTAAGTGGAGGGAGTGTTCTGGTTCTCTCAGAGTCTGTCTTACTGAGTGATTTCTGTAGTGTAAATGAAAAGCCAATCTCACCGCTGGCCATTGGTTAATATGACTACTAGTGGAGACAGGGTGAGACCCACACCACCAGTAAAGGGAAGGTGGGATTCATGCCTCAATGAAACATCTCGATTTGCCACTGATTATAATAGGAGCCAGCCCCACCCTCCACACCCCCCCCCCCGAGAAACCAAAAACCAAACATGGCTACATGGATTTTTAGGGGAACGACACAACTATTGTACAAACACAGTAATGGAAGAATTTTTTGTAGGATAATTCTTCTGCTACTTAAGCTCCTTAAGTTAAAAGCAACCACATTTGAGCCTGTAACACGGCAGGCTGGATTAGGAAGTGTTGGATTGACCCAGCATGAAGGAGCTGAGAGCAAGGTTACTGTTATAGAGAACCAATGGGACAAAGGTGAGATCGAGGGATCTCACTCGTGTCTCTGGGCAATGTCCAAAATCTGTATGGGATGGGCAATGGATCCTGCTTATCAGTGTCATCCCCTACACTTATTAAATATGCCAGTGACATCTTGTGGTGAAAGGCCAGTACTACACAAAGAACTGGAGTGATTGGGTGATGCATGACAGAAGAGAGCATCAAACCAGTCCGTACCATGGGCAAACAAATTCATTACATTGAATATAATCACCAAGTGGGTGCACAATGGCCCCCGCTGGTTCCTGCAATTCTGGGACGAGGCAGTGAAGATCTGGATGTGACAGAAAGGGAGTTGCAGAGCCGATTCCAAAGCATACACATATGGGAAAGTGGGGCAGTTAACCTAGAGCAGTGTCAGTGGGCAGGGGGAGGGAGAGGGGGAGAAAGAGAGGCTCCCCACACTCGGACTCCCTGCATTACAATGATTAGCGTACAAGATGGAGGTTAGATGTGAAACACTGAATGTTGCATTAGTTGCGGGTCTGGAAGAGGGGTGGGGGGTGAAGGAAGGTGGGGTCTGTGAGAGGGTGGGCTGAGGGAGGGTGGGCTGAGGGGGGGGGGGAGAGGGAGGGAATGAAGGAGAGCCAACCAGGAGTAGATCTGACCGGAAAGGTGAAAGGGAAAGATGTAGCAGTGATGGATGGATTTGTATCGGGTGGGGGGGAGGGAGGGAGAGAGAAGGAAGGGAGAAACAGTGGAGGATTGTAGTTAGAGAATCCAAGTCAGAATAAAACAGAACTTTTAAGTCTGAATTTATTCCACAAAAGATTGTGAGATTATAGAGTGAAGTCTCGGAATGGGATAGACACAGGTATTACATAGAGAGAGAGTCTTTGGTAGAATATGGATATTAGGAGATATAGAGAAAGGTGGAGAAATGAAGGAAGAGTTGATAGTCTTAAACGAGGAGTGAGCTTGATGGCCTGAATGGCTTCTTCCAGTTTCTATGTTGCTGTGATGTGGAGGCTGTAGGAATGGCTGAGGCCTGGAGACTGGGACTTTAAAATTCATCAAGACAGTAGGCCAAAAGAACATAGGTTTAGTTGTTGAGAATGCTCCTAGACACTACCTTGCATGAAAAGCATCGGATAAAGGCAAGTTGTTGTAAAGGGCAATTTCAGCACCGACACCAGGAAGTTTTTCTTTATGCAATTAACAACTGGAACAGGTTACCAGGAAGGGTGGTCACGATCAAGACACTAGGACTCATTTAAATAACAGCTTGATGCTGTAGATCGGGCAGTTGTTCTGGAGGGATGAGACCGGATGGGTCAAAGGGTCCTCTTCATCCAAACTAATCCAACTGAAGATGTGGGAGTGGTGGGGTGCAGTTGAGCACCAATTTGTTGGAGCTCTGGCACTGTTGTGGTGGGGGCAGTGAGGAAGTGGAGCAGGGCTGAAGATGAAGATAGAAATGGGGTAAGGCTACTCTCTGTCTTTCTCTAGCCTTGGTCTAGCAAGCACTGTCTGTCTCCCTTTATATCACACTTCTCATGTCTCACACAAGCTCTCACCCGCTGATCGCCTGCAGTGTGTTATCAGTATTAACCATGTGCCGCTCAGCTCAGTGACCTGCACAGTGAGCGGTTAAGCCATTGGCCACATGATGTGCAGAAACTGCACCAGTGGGACCTGCTGTTCAAGACTGAGATGGATAGATTTTTGATAGGGTATCAAGGGATATGGGGCAGAGGCGGGTAATTGATTGGAGTTGAGGTATAGATCAGCCATGATTTAAAAGAATGGCAGAACAGGCTCAAGGGGCTGAATGGCCAACTCCTGTTCTTATGTTCCGCTGCCCAGCACACCCTCACGTGACAGGAAGCAGGTGTGTGAGGAGATGCCACCAATCCAGTCAGTACACGCGTGGCACAGAGACTCTGTCCTTCAAATACCGTGGTCTGTGGTGATTGCGAGAATGTTAAAGACACTAGCAGGGATTTCCTCCTCAATGTTCAGAATTCAGACCCAGGTTACACACACGTCTTGTCACAGCGATGGCAGTGGCTGCGATGGTTACAGCACTTATTTGCAGTGATACAGAAGAGCACAAGTTGCTGGTTCAATCCCTGGTGTGTGCTGAGTTAGCTGGTCTCAGTTGGGGGTTACCAGAGTTAGGGAGAGAGATGACAGCCTGGGCTCCTGCTCCTCATTGCTATCAGGGGAGTGATAGGCAGGGAATGAGTAGGTGGGACATGAGGAGGAAGGGGCAGGAGGGAGTGAGGACCCTGGCGAGTAGATAGGATCCTAGGGGCATGGATCATGACCTCTTCCTCCCCCCCCCCCCCAACTAGAATGAGGGATCCGGGGAGGAGTGAGTAGCCGGCGACCATGGGAGTGGGGAGGGAGTGACCCTGGGAACATCGAGGAAAGAGCCTCTAACACTGTTTACATACTTTGCAAACATTCCAAATGGTGCCTTGTTGCCACATCGACACTCTCTGCCAGAAACTGTGCCAATCTCTTCTGCATGTCTCTGTCCCGCTTCCACCCCCCACCCCCCCACCGACTGCAACAGCAACAGCCTCACACTCGGAGGCCACTTTGCAGTCTTTCGTAACGATTTCTTAATTAGGAAATCCTAGGTGGGGACTATTCCAGGGGGAAGAGTATATGCGTTAGATTAAACAGGAGAAATCTTCGCTCCGAAAATAGACGGACCAGGAATCCTGGGAGTCAGCAATAAGGATTTCAGATTTCTTAATTAAGAAATATCGCAAATTAGCCCCTGTTGCACCAGTGTTTAGCAGCAAGTCATGGGGTGAAGTCTCACCCGGTCTGATAAGGTTTTCATTTAAAAGTCATAATTATAATAATTCTTGCATTTGATATAGCATCTTATCACATCATCAAGACGTCTCGAAGCGCTTCACAGGATATACTGTAAAGTGGATTCACTATGTATTTTATGGGTGAAACTTGGCAGCCAATTTGCACACAGCGGTGCCCACAAACAGCCATGAAGTGAGCGACCAATTTATTTGGGGGATTATTGGCCAGGAGACCACGAGGAACTCCCTTCTCTTTTCAAATAGTGCCATGAGATATTTAACGCCCGCCCGAACAGGCAGATTGGGCCTCGGTTTAACATATCATCCAAAGGACGACACCTCTGACAATTCAAGCCTCCCCCAACACTGTACTGGAGTGTCAGTGATTCCACGTCCCAATGTGGGATTTGAGCCTACAACCTTCTGACTTGGAGGCTACCACTGAGCCAGACTGACACACGTGTGTCATGTGAGTGAACGGCTCAGGATTCCCATAGGAATGAGAGGTCTTTTGGCAGGATAAGCTGTCCTGTTCGGAGCGTGGCTTGTGAGCCCGTCTGTGACCAGGATCTGTGGGGAGCAGCGTGCGTTACTCCAGAGAGCCTGGAACTCGGGAGATGGGGAAAAATAAGATGAGTTTCTTAACAAACACTAACCTAATTGAAAGAACTGTTTCGATTTCACCTCTTCCCAAGACAGTCAATGCCCCTGACTCTGGCTCAGTCACTCAGACACTCGCCTCAGGGTCAAACGATTATGGGTTCAAGCCCTACATCGGAGACTTTGAGCTCACAGTCCAGGCTGACGCTCCAGGTCAGTGCTGGGGGCAGCGTTGTACTGTATTGTCAGAGGAGGTGACCTTCAGAGGAGAGACGTTAAAAGTCATTATTAGAAAAAAGAAGGGAGTTTCTCTCGATGTCGCAGATTAAATATCTCACTTTGTGGATGATCATCGGTTTGCCTACAAATCCAGTCACTGCACTTGACAGCAATTCCCTGTGAGGAGCTCTGAGTAATTTGAGGCGTGAAATCAATTGGAAGAATGATATTATAAGAAGCCTTAACCCCAGTGTTTGGGCTCCCTCGCTGGTTTCTGCCTGCCTGCTGTATGTATTCTGGTTCCCACTGATACCTGGACATATATATTTTATAATCTTATTGTGCTGCGGATGGACACACCCTATATATAAAGACATTCTCTGACCGCAATCTTCAGGACATGCTGTGTGATTTTTTTTCCTGATCTGCATTGAGTTCCAACGTGACCCTCAGACCAGCTCTCTGACCCTGGGGGTTGTTAATTTAAGCTCTGTTGCGTGTACGCCCATCACCTGGCGGGTGGGGGTTGGGGAGAGAGAGACACTATTTGTACTCAAGCTGTGTGTGGGGGGAAGTTACTCCTTTTTTGTCATGTGCGGAGGAGAAGAATAATAATCAGATTAATGTAGATATTGAAGGAAGGAGAGCTACCAGGCTGTCTTTTATAAAGCGCTATTGGAAGAAGTTTGGACAGGTTTCCAGATTAACACTGATCTTAAACTCCCCACCCAAAAAAAAACATCTGCACAGTATGAGGTGTTAGTCAATGGTCTTAAGACTAAGATTGTGAAGAATGTTGGATCTCTGGGTTCTCAATTTGTTCCTGCACTGGAGCAGAACCAAATCACATCCCCCCCATAACCCCCACACACCCTCTCCCACCCCTGAGTGTAACACATAAGCTCTGGGTGTGGGTTTGTTGGAGGTCATTGATCAAGGAGTTGGGGAGACGCCAGCCAACAGCTTCTTAATGAGGATTAAAGACAATTTACACAAATTGTGGTTTGTGACAGACATGGGTGGGAGGGAGGACACACACACGGGGAGGGGAGGGAGTTCACACGAGACACGGGGGACACAGACAAGGGGACACACAGACACGGGATGGGAAGGACAGACGCGGGGACACAAACACGAGGAGGGGACGACACAGACACGGGGGGGAAAACAGACACGGGGGTGGGGAACGACAGGATGAGGGTTGGCACAATGTGACGGTAAAGGGCGTTGAGATTGATGGATGGAAATGTGTAGAGGTTTGGGGATGGTTGACCAGCTCCTCATTAACCCATTGACTGTCCATCCCCATCAGCATCTGTATTACACCCCTCACATTTACAACAATAACAATTTGCATTTATTTAGCACCCTTCACACTGGGTAGCGTCTTGCAGTGCTTTTAATTTACACTTCCTTTTCATCTGATGCAGGAGGAGAAAGAGTTTGGTGTCTAACAAGAGCTGTGTGTGTGGTACTGCTTAATAAAGCCTCTGTTCTCTGCTCTCCATGTGGGCATTTTTTTTCTCTCTCCTCACAATGACCTCCTGGCATTCAGCAATCCTCCAATCCCAGTCTCTCCTCTAACTGATTCCCTCAATCCCGGCCTCTCCTGTGATGGATTACCTCCAATTCCCAATCTCTCGAATAATTGATCTTAAATACAAGTTGTTGTTGTTGATTCCCTCCAATCCCAGCCTCTGCTATGACGGATTCCCTCAATAATTAATCATAATAATAATCCTTGCATTTGATGTAGCACTTCATCACAACGTCGAGCCATTTCAAAGCGCTTCACAGAATATACTGTACAGTGGAGTGACTGTATATTCTGTGGTCGAAACGAATCCCTCTTATCCCAGTCTCCCCTGCGATGGGTTCCCTCAGTCTCGGCATCATATATCAAATGTAAGAATGATTATCATTATTATTGTTGCCTGAG